CATTTTAAATTTTCAGAGGCACAAATCGGAAAAACAATGCCATAATTGTGATGTACTCTGAAATTCCTTCAATTTGAGTATAATATAGCCGTACTTTTAAGAGATCAGAAAATAATTGCGAAATCCCGCTTTAGGCGGCCATTTTGATTTTTTGAGTGAGGCCCGAATCAGAAAAACGCTACAATATTTGCAATCTACTCTAAATTGCCTTTCATTTGAGAATAATAAAGCTATACTTCAAAAACATATCAAAATTAACGCAAATTCCTATTTTCCCAAGCCCCGATTTACGGCCCCTGAGGGTCAGGGTGAAAAAGCCGGGATATATGTAAAATAGATAGATGTTGTTAATATACTACCAACATTTCAAATAATAATATTTACTATTTTGGTTTAAAATGAAAAGATTTTTGCTAAAAATCCCCCCCCTTTTTTTAAACTGGCTGTCATCTTGAAAAAAAGTATGCGTAACATTATTCACCAATATACATCTTTCCACCAAATATGAAGAAAATCTGTCAACTAGATAGTATTCAAGTTATCTTCCGGACAGACGGACGGACTGACTGACTGGCTGACGGACTGACGGACAGACGGACGGAGGGCTTCACTAATCCCTACTGAATTTCGTTCGTTGGGATAAAAAGGCATGAACGTTATTGCAATCACTTTACTTTTTGTGGGATATGTAATTTAGGGACTACTGCACTTATAATTTTCCAATGCTCTCAAATTCTTAATTTGACATCCTATCTGGTATTTTTATCTATTTTTTGCCCCGGTCACCATACATCCAATTTGAGATCATCTATAACATTGCCAAACGATGTAATTTTGTAATGAAAAGTACAGTGAAGTAGTAATTCAATTTTGCTTTTTTATTTATTTTATTTCTAATTGTGGCTCGGTCATAACAAGACAATTTACAGTTTATATACATATTGGCGTTGTTACAACATTTATGGTTGAAAAAATGCATTGCGTTGCGGTTCCACGGTGACCGTTTGCATTGTTGGTGGTGCTCCAAATGAGGAGAGGTTTTTCGGAGAGAAAATGCTTTATCCAGAAATTCAGTGAATGAAATAATTATTTAAGAATTTTCATTTTTGTTACAAAGTTGATGCCCGAAGGTTAGGGTTTTTGCCTTCTTTGCTCGAGAGAGAGACTTGAACTTAATTTGTGCACATAAGTAAAGTTATGAGAATGGAGCTGCGCCTTAAGAAAAAGGTTAAATCTGAATCTATCAAGAGTATATCACGATGCCTAGTTAAATGTAATGAAAAACACGTAATTGTAGGGTTCGGTTGTGAGTATGATGCCATTCTAGGTTTAAAAATAGAGATTGAATCAGATTGTTTGATGTAAGGGGAGGTTATTTCATTCATTCATACTTTTGAAAACACACGACCTTGATTTGATAAGGGTTCTCTTCGTAGGAAGGATGTATGCAAGCTTGTTGCGGAGTGTGCGCCTATTGTCTGGAAGGTGGAATTTACTGAATATATCGGTTATGTAAGTTTGGGAAGTTCCATTTGTTACTGCAAAAATTAGATTCATGCGGCGGTGAATTCTTGTTTTTTGGGGGTAGCCAGTTTAAGCATTTGAAAACTTTCACGGAGTTGGACCCATGAATCCCACCAGTTATACTTATACTTTATCTATACTAATACTTTATCTGATCTTGAATTGTTATCGCCTTGTGTAATCCGATACATCTCCACTGTTATTATGATAAATTATGCACCAACTATTACGTGTGCGCTATAGCATTAGCCAATAGCGGTAGTCATACACAAAAATCAATAAATAAATCCACGTGTTCGCCATGCAGTTGTGAAGTTATATGCGGCATGCTTGCAGTCTGCAAATCCAGGCTTCTCTCTTACAAATAAAACGCATTCACCAGAAACATAATGACTTTTCATTATCCTTTTTACAGCATAACTATAAGTGTTTATATGTGAACTGATCAGTCATCAACTTTCTGATATTAAATCGGTTCACTACATTCAAATTACTTTCAATTCTATTTAGCAAATAAAACGTTTATCGATTTTGTGAGGGTCATTTTCAGTTTTGCTAGCTGATGAAAGTAAGGCGAGGTAGGACTTCCCACAATGCCACTATCAAAGGTTCCGATACTAACTTGCTGATTGGAGCAAAATCAACAACTGTATTACCTCGTGTGTTTGTAACCTAAATTTAGACATTGAAAGATCGCGTGCTATTGGTCAAAATCACCGACATAAACAAGCTGTCGGTAAAGCACGTGGCTTTCTCTTTGGTACAAGGCGGTCATATAGAAATAAAGATAAGTAAAAGAGACCGACTTGGGGCAAAGCTAAGCCGTAGATTATGTCGCAATATTCAAAATATGGGCGTATATAGGTATTAAAGATTGTCAAAAATTGAATTACATTTAGTTTTGATTTTAGGGCTTTGAGATGATATATTAGTTTGTCAATTCGCATATTAGGGTTTCATCTAATATGAGCCCAAGGTGTTTATGATGATTGTATTTTGGGACGAGCATGTTTCCTAGTTGGAGGGGATAAGCATTTTCAAGTGTTGCCCCTCCATGAAAAATAATATGGGCACTTTTAGTTGCATTAAAGTTGAGTTGCCATAAATTTTACCAGTGTTCTATATTATCTATGTCCTCTTGCAGGAATGTCATTTTTTCGATTAAATCATCTTTGTTATATGGACAGTAAATTGACTTAACCAGAAGTAGTGATAATATGAGTATTAATTACAGAATGCAACACTTTTATTGCTATGTCTCAAATATTTTATAGATTAGAATGAAAAATGTCAGGGCTTATGGGACAACATTGAGTACCTCTCAATATGTTGGCGTACTATTACAATAAACTATGTATTCAAAATCGTTTGAATATTCAGAACTGTTTTCAATACGTTTTAAAGTAAACGTTTAGAATCAATCTAGTGGGTGAGATGTGCAACCCTTTATGATGTTATAACAAATTAAACGTACACAATAGATTCATATATATCATTCCAGTAAATACAACAGTTTATTTTTTCACAATTTAATGTTAAATTAAATACATATGGAATAAGTGTTTAGCTTTAATCCTACAATCAATAGTATGAATTTGCAAATGTCAAGAATACAATTTTTGTCAATCAACCTTTGTTTAAACCCTTTTAAACTTTGGAAACTTAAATATCACAATGTTGTCAAATATCAATTTCCAAGGTCATTTAATTGTAAGACTTTTTTCTTTGCTTTGTGAATTGGTGCATTGTGGAGGTGCACTATTGACTTTCCTATTAATCCAGGGTCCCTTTTCTAAGTACTTATATAACGTTTCTTTGATTATACTGGTTAGTTACATTACAGAGTCATGATGTGTATCAATGATATCATTATACTAAATAGAATACTATGGCAGTCGTAACTTTAACATCTTTAGAATATATGTTATAAAAGTTGGTAGATGTATTGTAATATAGTTCCTCTACAATCTGTAGAAATTACATTACAAAGGAACCTGTTTTTCCATTGTCCTTTAAGATTCGGATTAATACAATATAAAAATATCAAGCCATGTTTCATCCAGATTTTCGCCTACCGTTTTTTTTTATTCATATTTAATTTACATTTACATATTCTTTACACATCTCGGCTTGACATTATCTTGGATGTGTATAGTCTTTTCTGTATAAATATTTAGATAGCTGATGCGTGAACATAAAATATTTAATAAACAAGAAGGAGAAACTAGAGAGAAAGGGAAAGAGACGAAGAGAAAGTTAAAGGGTTTGCATAGCATATTGTATTTAATACATAATAATCCGAAGTTAAATTAGGTTTATGGGGCTCTTTAACTTGCATTAATAGTTATAAGTCTGCACCCAGAAGATTTGAATTTAATATTAACTTTTATGATTTTTATGAGGTATTTTTTATAATCCGATTTGAATTAATTTCTGCTGTTAATTTCTCTAATAGAGTTCGGGAGTTCATTCCATATAATTTGGCCTCTATGTTTGATGGATTTTTGACCAAAGACTGATTTAAAATTATTGGACCTGAGATCTTGTATCTCTTTTATGGACTCTGCTATTTGCTATAAAATAATCATTGAACATGTTGATAGGGAATTCCTTTGGTCTTTTGATACAATTAAATACAAACAAGGCAGCATTGAGTTTATAAACTTCGAACACAGAGGGGTGCTGAGGGTGTATCTTTGGCACTATGTGATATTAGTCTCAGAAACTGTTTCTGTACCTTTAAAATCATATCCATTAATCGTTTGGTTGCAGTTCCCCATGCAATAATACAATAATCTAAGTGACTATATAATGTATAAGCGAATAATAAATTGATTTTAAGGATTCAAAATTTAATCGGTTGTGTACCTTAAATAAGACATCTAGTGTTTGTGAGATCTTCAAAGTGACATGTTTGATAGTTAGTTTTGTTAAGTCGTTCAATACTACTGTTCCGTATTTTTATTTTCAAAGGTGTGATTCATTTTGAGTGAGTTTGCGATGTGAAAAAAACAAGAATTTAGTTTTGTCCATATTGAGCGATATATACCAGCACTATATACAGATCATGCTAACATTTTATGAACATTCATGTATTTTCGAAAAAGTAATATCAAAATTTAAAAATGTGAAACTTTTTGTCCCACCATGTACAGGGGAGGCATCAAAAGTTCGATGTCGGATAGAAAACTAAATAAATCTAGTTAGGGGGGAGGGGGTTCAAACCCATTTCAGTTTGCTATCCGACAAATTTCAACATTTCAAATTTTTGGCAATTTCGACTCAGAATGCCTTGGAATGGTTTAAAAAAGATTTACCTGCTGCTTTCTTCGTCAAAATCATTCCAATGGATTCTATTCTATCAATAATTGTTAAAAGCCACAAATTACGACAGGAATTAACAAAAACTAGATCGTGTTTAGCAATAATTTTTTAAATTCTCAAACCGGAAGTCAGCGATCAACTTTCATGGTATTTAGTTTTGAGGGGGAGGGGAGGGGGTCAGAGTCAAAACTAGATTTATTTAGTTTCCGATCCGACATCGAACTTTTGATTCCTCCCCTAAGTCATATAACATATGAAGCGTCCATTAGCTAGTGTTTTGACTACAATTCTGTACATGTTTATAAATAAATCTGCCTCTCCCTTTCGAATTTGTCCATTTCTTGCGAACATATATTCAACGATGATATATACACTTATTGTCTCTCATATGTTATCAGAAATTCTGGATAGGCCAGGTTTTCGCCATAAAGCACAAACTCTCTAAACAGCAATCGACCTTGATTTGTATGTTTAGGTGGCCGATTGACTATCAGAATAGAGTCATACATCTGATGACTTTCCTTACAAGGCTCCGGGCACCCGTTATTGTACTCGATACAAGGAGGGCGTGGGTATTGTTTGGTTACATCCGCCACGTATATATTCCCCAACAAGGCTCGCATTAAGAACATGTGCTTTTCCCCTTCACTTCTAGCATCCTTGGAATCTGTAGACAACATGCATATTATAAAACCCGATCAATTAAAGCGAGGATACTAAAAAAGAACAAGATTCTACACTTTATAAATTGTTGTTAATGTTGATAATGCTTAACCAATCGTAATACATCATATTCTTATTAGTAACTCGAACATAACTGTATTCCATTTTCTTTTAATTGCGAACAAAGTCAAACTTAGCCTGGTATTTATTCGACGATACAATACCTGGTCTGTACTAAGTGTTTCTTTCAGTGCACTCGAAGTAGGAGATGAAGTGAACATTTTGCAAATCTTTTGTGAGTTTTCATGTACAAATCGTTATATGAACTTCAGATCAGGTACTACATCGAGAAAAAACATTTGTGCCCAGCCCAGCGATATTTATTCTTCGATATGATACCTAAGTTCTCTTCGGTCAAAATAAGTTGAAAACATTCATACCTGCATATTGATCAGCTTTGGTTGAACTCTCTGCTAAGTACACCCCTTTCCCTGCCATCCCATGGATATTCAACCTGCCATCTGGACCCTTGTCAGATATGACTGAAGTGCACATGATACATTTATAGATATAGGAGGGCTCATCAATCGACTGATCTCTTTTTAACAGTTATACAACATCAAATAACCTGTCAACTCTGAAGATCGAAGATAAAAATATTTCCATGAATGAGATTCAGGTACTTCGGGACCGACAATTACAGGGTGTTGAAAAGAACGCAACCCAAAGAAATCGCTATATCTTGAAAAAAACTAGTTCAATTATGTTCATATTTTCAGGAAAGAAAGAGGAGCCTGCGTATGTATAGCTCCTGTTGATTGTTAGCTGAAAAACATGATGCCTTGGACACTTGCTCAAATGAGGCAGTTGTACTAGGAAAATACGAAAAACGCAGTCAGGGGTGACTGCAACCGCAGAAAAATTAAATAACTTCCTAACCGTAGTGTTTTGGCTCTTCAAATTTGACACAAATCATCTTCATTCACTGTATGGTTAATCTGTTGAGTGAAATCAAAATCACTCCATGGACTTTAGAGTCATGGTCGAAATGGTTTCAAATTACAGTCAAACGCCCTAGTTCAGGCAGACTTAAGAAGGCATTTTGACCATGACTGTAAAATCCCTAGAGTGATTTTGATAAAACTCCACAAATTCACCACACATTAAATAAGGATAATTTGTATCAAATCTGAAGTGCCAAAATATAGTGTATTTATTGCATCAATATTCGTAACTTTAATATCTTCGGTTTTTACCCCACGGAGTAAGTTAAACCGAACATAAACAAAACCAGTTACAACAAATGGTACCTACTATCCCACATATAATTGACTGCCTTACACAACAAATATGTAAAATGCTTCAAAACTGTATTCGACCCGATCAAATATAAATTTGATAAGTATTTTAAATATGTGCGATGCCTAGTACCATTCGTATTGGGTAAACATATTAATTTGTGGTAAACATATTAATTCGTGGGGTAAGTCACGTGACTTACCGAATGCTTTTATATAAACCAATGTTCACTGTTTTGATGTGGGGTAAGTCACGTGACTTCGACCATGTGACTTGCGCCATCTATATATTCAAAGAGCTCTTGTGTGATTCTCCAATCGCGAAAACGGATCTTCTATTAAGAAAGGATCGCTTGTAGCCCCATGCCTGTTGTAATGATCTAATAACTTCTCCATTCTGATACTCATAGCATCTTTCTGTTTCACCAGGGCTGAGAAGAAATGAGATGTCATGGTATATCATGATGTAACTTCTCAATTTCCTGAATTGTGAATATGAATCGTATTCAAATTCTTTTTCATCGCTTGTTTCATCAATAATTTCTACGTCAATGGTCACGTGATTTACCGAATGGTTTTATGCTACATGCAGCATGTGTCATTTATGTGGGGTAAGTCACGTGACTTACCCCACATAATTTTATGCGAAAGTACATGGCATTAATTATGTGGGGTAAGTCACTATATGTCCGTGCTATTTTGTACTCTATGATTGTTCGGTAAATGAACATATTGTTTGGTACTAAAGTGTATTTGTATTCGATGCGTGTTCTAAATATATGTGTCAACCGTCTTTGTTCGTGTGTGTACATGGACTTAAATATGTGATATTTTACCAAACACTGAATAACATAAACCGCATATACAAGTGCATTTACCGCATAAATAGGTACATAAATCAAATATAAATGTGTAAAAACAAACACATTTATTACGCGTTTCGAATTATTTTAATAGAGTGGAATATCAAATGGTTGTAATCAAATACAAAAGTGTGAAAATCGAATAAAGATGCAGGAAAAATTCCATACCAAAACACTATGATTAGAAAGTTATTTGGTTTTATTGGTGTGGCAATCACCTATGACTGCGTTTTTCGTATTTTCCTAGTACACATGTCTTTTGAGAAGGTGTTCAAGGCATCATGCTTTACAACTGACTAACAACAGGAACTATAAATACACAGTCTCTTATTCCCTTTCCCGAAAAATGAACACAATTGAATTGATATTTTCCAAGATATAGTGATTTTCCATTCGCGTTTTTTCATATTTTCCTAGTACAACTGTCTTTCGAGCAAGTATCCAAGACATCATGTTTTACAAATAACTCACAACAGGAGCTATACATAAACAGTCTCTCATTTCTGTCCTGAAAATATGAACACATTTGGATAAGTCTTTTCCAAGATATAGCGATCTCTTTGGGTTGCGTTTTTTTAACACCCTTTATGTCAAATATGCTGAGTTTTTACGAACTCGCACCCCACGGTGTGTCTAAGTGCCAGTGTTCTTTAATACTTGAAAACGAAGCCATGCCAAATCAAACGATGTGTGTGAAGAGTTTAAGTGTATGTACATTGGCCATTTGATGTATTTATGTAAAGGAGTGGTATTGATATGGAGAACTTTTTGAACACAGGTTTCTCTTAAACAAGTCATAAAAAATCTAGAAATTTAACACATCGTCAATTTAACCCTAGAAGCCCTAAGGTAAAAATAGTCACACGAACACCTAAGGGGGGTCAAAAGGGCACCCCTTGTAATTTTTTTATTAGAAGAGCTAGGATGTTCAAACTTTTTCCACATATACTTCATTCAATTATCTACAACTTGGTGTAAAACCTTTAACAACTACGATGATGTAAGACTGCGTAATTTTATTCTTAAGACAACACTTATGGAAGAATTAGTGCTAGCTTTTTTCTGATTTTGTCAATTGGAACTGATGATTACATCATAATAGATTAATAACAAATTAGTAATGCTAGGATGTTCAAACTTTCCTAAAATATACTTCATTCAATTATCTACAACTTGGTGTAATTACTTTAACAACTATGATAATGAAAGATTGTGTAATCTTATTCTAAATATAACACGTATGATAGAAATAGTGCTAGCTCTTTCCGATTTTGTCTATTGCAGCTGATGATTACATCATAGTAAATCATTTACCCTATGTGCAATTTTGCTGATTTTTCCAGAAAACATTTGTTATATCTGTAGCTTCAGCTACTGACAATTTGAAGACCCTACCAGATGGCAATCAAAAGTTATGGGAAAAAAACTTTGGCTGATTTAAAAAAAGTTTTGGCGGATTTTGTTTTAATTTTTGAATGCTTTTTTAAAATCAACCAAAAAATCCTTTGCATAACTATAATATTGAAGGATCTAAAAACATATTGTTTATGCTATTTTGTTCCAACGAGGTTCGGAAAGACATGATATTTCATTCTTAAGAATTGGTAGAAAGGATCAAAAACAATTTGCACTAAAAAAACAAAAACTGTTAACAAAAACAGTAATATAAAATATTTCTAAATCATTTTCGCATTAAATTGTTGTCAATCAGTCAACATTGCATAAAATATAGTGTTTTTACAGAATGTGTTCAATGATTGGTTTAAGAGAAAAACATTGCCGAATTCAGTGCTTTCAAAGTGTACCATTCTAAGAAAAAATCGTAAGACTACAGTCCTGTTAACTTGAACTGCTTTATTCGTTAATTTTCGTCGGTGAAGCAGTCACTGCGTTGGCGTAATGATATTTAAAAATCGGTACGCAAAACTTGTTAAATATAAAGTCGAGATAAAGGTTATATTCCGGGGAATGCAGAAATATGGTCATTATATGGGCTCATTCGAAAATTTCGATATATACCCCAGATTTTGAATTTTGAGATTTTTTTCGATATTTTTCAAAGAGTTACCACAGTGACACCTCTATGGGACGGATTTAAAGCGTTCTCGTGACTTTCGGTTCTGTAAGCTTCAACCTCATGCGGCGTTTCATTTCAGAATTGTTTTTTATCTATTTTTTTATATGTATTTGTTCATGTAGTATATTTGTTATCAAGTGTCACATTTACACACTAGTTACCAATAAGGGTGTATATTAGTGCATTGTCAAAAATTGGAAAACCATTAAAGGAGTATAATTTAAATGAGTTGAGCAACATACAATTTATAATCAGCCCACAGATAAATCAAAAAGTGAAATTATAACATTTATGGATACAACACAATGTAGAGAAATAACATATTACATCTTACAGCTTATAGCTCAATAACAATTAATTATTGTTTCTTTATAATTGTATTTAAAGGAGTGTAGAGATGGTCGATATTGAAGTAAAGTTGGAAATTTGTTCAATATCATTGATTTGGAATATTGAACTGATTTTTTGTTAAGTTTGATTTGAATCTACATGGTGATATGGAAATACATGGAAATTTTAAAGATGAAAGCTAAATTTCAAAATGGCCGCATTTTGCGTACAACATGTTATCTTTGATAAACTAGATACCAGTGGATGGATTTATTTCATATGCTTATGTTAAGAAATAAAGGAAGTCCGCTCAAGAAGATATTTTCAAGATGGCTGCTATTTATCAAAATGGCAGCCATTTATGGTGAAAAATAAAATATTTGATAGCTCAAATACCAGTCGACAGATTTGGTTGAAAAGAAGCTATCGATATGGTGAACTGAATTCAACAATTTTTTTCTCTTAAACCAATAATTGAAAGCATTCTGTAAAAATACCTCTCAATATTACAGTTATGCAACGGAAATTTTGGTTGATTCAACAAAAAATATGCAAAAACTTAAAACAAATCCCCCAAAATATATACAAATTAAGATAAACATTTTATTTCCTTAACAAGATACTGTTTTAAAATCAACCAAACTTTCCTTTGTGCCATTACAATATTGAGAGACCTAAAGACATTCGGATAGATGTTTCATTTCATTCCGAACATATAATACAAAGAACAAAAGAAGTGTCTGATGTGTTTTCTAAAACAATATAGAGAAAAGGATATACATGTATTTCAAATAATAATGTTACCATCCAAAAGATGACCATTAAATTGACGATGTCTAAAATGTTCATAATGTTTTGATGACTGGTTCAAGAGAAACGTGTGTTCAAAAAAGTTCACCATATCGATACCACGCCTATCATATTTTATATTTGTGCTTGTCACTGATGTTACATGCATCTTTCATACGCTGCTGAAATAACAATTGAAAATACCTTGGATTGTATCTTCTTTTGCACCGTGGAACAAATAGCATTCATTTATTTCTTTTATGACGTAGCTATCTAGATGTGTAGCGCCAAGAGTAGTTGTGAGCGGATTTGTCTCGCCTTTTTCCAATGTTTGGGGAATTTTCCCTTCGGCGGCTAGTTTGCATAAACTTTGACGATGCACTGCATATTTTTTATACAAATCGTCGCGTTCTATGATTTCTATATTCTTTACTGCAATAGTACTGTGTGTTAATCCTTTGGCATCACTTCCTATACCTACAGCTTCACGACACCATGTTCCTCCTAATTGTTCATCACATTCACAAAATTTCTTTATTTCGTTAAAGATATCCGAGTTTCCAGGGACCTCCTTCCAATAGGCTGGGCTCTGTATTTTCTCATTTGCCAAAGCAAGGAGATGCTCTTTGGTCCCCTTGGGAAACCTTTCTGGTCCTAGGGCGTCGTATTCCTCTTTTCGTTTAATAATTTTACTAACGAGTACAAGGACAGAAGTTTTCGCTCCGCAAAGTACCAATCGCCCTCCGCTTAATGCATCTGATAAACAGAGTAAGTGTACGTATATTAATTAAAATGTCAATGACAGGATGATGCAGGAGGATTGGGCAATTATAAATATATGATAGGCTACATACAACTGAACCTTTTGTAGCTATTATGGCAAATTTGCACAGGGAATAGTACGGTCTTTGCCACGTCAAGCGTACACCGTATTTTCAATTTAAGATTGAAAGACTGTGGCTACCAAATGGTCTGTGCAATGATGACGAATATATAAGCACAAATGTCAAGGGGAAGGGTGACTAAAAACGTGAAAAGAAACAATGTCTTACATCCCCCTCCCCCCTCCAATCGAGAACCAATATCACAATCCAGGACCAGAACACCAAGGGACATTTCATTCATACTGAAGTCATCACAATACATGTTGAAGAAAAATTGAAAAAATTGATAGCCAATACTCATAACATCAAAAATAGTTGTAGAAACTATTACTCATAAAAGAGAGAGTAATCAGGAGAAAACTATGGCTGGTTTCGATCCCTATTTCTCAACTATTAATGACATAGACGGGATCCACCTCAAAAGGTGCCAAGTGAAAAAAATGAGTTCATTGCCATTTCAATTATACCATTCCTACATCATTCAGCATCTCAAGTGGTAAAACTTGAAATTTCGAAATTAATGATTTGTACTTTTCAGCAAAGCCCAAAAAGTATTTCTTAAGTGTTTTACAAGTATAACCTTGACCTAACAGCTTGATCACTAAAATATGGTGTCTTGATTGAGACTTTATCAGTCCCATAGAAATATCAGAGAGTTCTTGTTTTCATTTGATATAGATGTAATCCAATTGTAGTCTTAAAGCCTTTCTAGAGACATTTCTACTGTTTAAAAATATACTGATTAAAGAGCAAAGCATTATGAACATAGTCATAATCAAAATGTCTCCGAGAAGAGTAAAACCAAAAGATTTGTCATAATGATTATATATTTTCATTTTGTTTGTGCAAGGGATCAAATAATTATGGGTTTATTGAAGTTACATGGTTCGCAATATGTAATTTACATTTCATAAGTGTAAAAGTTGCTTATGAGGCATTTTGTAGGAAAAATGAGGGAAAAAATATTTCATCTTTTAACTTGTAATATGACATGAATCCATTGCAGACTTCATGTTTGCACATTTGATGTGATATACCATTTGTGTGAAATTATTTAATTTGCAATCGATTCCGGTCATAGAGTATTTTAGGTATTTTTGTGAAAATCAATAGAAACCAATGGCCTCTATTTGAATCTGGTGATATCAACATGTTAAGTCAATGGAGCACATCCAATGCCAAGTAAATACACCCCTGCTGAACCAAATGACCTCAACCTCAGCCCATGTGGGACAATTTTCTTAATATTTCCTAAAGTATTATGTGACATTATATTATTTATGTTACACCTAAAAAATGATTTGTGTTATTTTTGGAGAAATCATAATGGAGAATGCACTAGATCCTTTGTACTGAATTTTATACTGAAAAGGTCAGTAAATTGTTAAGTATACAAATATACTGAAATTCGTACGTAAAACTAATTACATTTTCAGAACAAAAATGTACTGAAAACCCTACTTTCAGTACAAATGACCTCCCATGGTGAATCCAGTACTTTGTCACTTTTTTCGATTTCCCGGGTTGTCCTTCAAGATTTTCGCTTAGGTTTTTTCATCGTGTTCATTTCATTAAAAAGTAAAAAAAAACGTAGTACAAAATATCAGTGTCCGAAAACGAAGTCCGAAAATAATCCTCCAAATCTAACGTCCGCTGTTTAATCTAATAGGAAATTTTTCTTAGGATTCTAAATCTGAAACCCGAATTGAAATCTTACTTCAAATCTTCCTTTCACCCTTCCAATACAATCCGTCCATACCTCCTTTCATATAATTCTATCTACGTCAAAGGTCAAGAACTAGGTCAAATCTTGTGTTTTCACATTTTACAATTTTCTCAGTCGTCTTTTCAAATTTTTCTCGGTCTTTTTCATCATGTTTCTTATAAACAAAGCTTATTCTGAAAGGCGAGTCTTTTTTATCACTTTAATTGTTCTTGATATAATTGACGACAAAAACGGTAAAATGAAAATAGGACGTTTTTCAACTTGCTTCAATTTGACCATTTTAGTTAAATCATCCATGAAGTTGAGATTTCGAAAATAAAATGGACTTCCGGTTTGAATTCTACGCCATTTTGAAAAATCAATATGATGATACAAAGACAAGAGTATTGAAGACAATTAAAGACTAAAAAATCAATCATCTGGAATCTAAAATTGAACTTGTTCAATTACAATTTGTAGGTATTTATTGTTAATATGTTCTGAATCTTATCCATTGGTGTGTTTCTTATTCATCAAACTGTACCTCCAGACCACCAAACCGAATCTGGGGCCAAATAAATAAAAAGTTAGTTTCTAGATCGGCATTTTTCCTGTTTTTAAATAGTACTAGATAATAATACTATCAATAAATCAAGGTAATATTTCGAATCGATATCTGGACATTGCATTTTATAAAAGTGTTTATGTTATGGTGTTAGTTTGATGATCATTATGACATATTCACAATGACATTGTATCAGTGCAGTGTAGATACGAGACGCTTGCCAATTATCTCTTTTCTCCTTTTTCAAAAAGTATGCCTAAACGAGATGAGTATGCACGTACGTATACATTAGTTTTAGAAGCAATGGCTCCGGATATATTGGAGCTGCGCAACAAATGATGACGAAGTATAAACATTTGAGAGTTCAAGCTAGCGACATTTGTCACAACGTAACCGTGAACACAAAGCCAATGAATCAATACAGTAACAGTAATGCATATAGTGCAATTTCACGTTGGTGGCAACAGGAATCAGTATACTCATGACTTTTGTACGCTATGGTGCCAATTTTGATTTCGATGCATAAGTATAAATAAATGCTTTCTGAAGAAAATGATGTATGTCATCCATGTTTTAGCCTCATAAATCTTACAAAACGCGCATGTTTAAAATATGTATCATAGAAAACCAGCTGTATAACTATCAATGACATAGTACATTACGATGACTGTGTAGTCTAATTGGTAACTGGTCAACTCGTACCCAAGGCAAGTACCCAAGACAACTGGTACCCAAGACAACTTGTACGCAGGTATATATTTTGTTCTGAATCAAGCGTTGGACTAGGAATGTGAATATATATACATATTATAATAGTAACATACTGTAACATAATAGTTTGAAGAAGAATTTTCGAAAGAAATTAATTTAAGTTTGTGACATTTTGAGCTTTTAGTGTCAATTTATTTTGACTGTTATTTTATATTGGTCACAAATTCAGGATGTTCGAGTGAAGAGACATAATTATGTTTATTCCACATATTCATAATCATTTTTCAAAGTTATTGTATGTTTAGGAGTGTTTGGAACAAGTGTCAGATCTAATTTTGTAATTATATTTATTTATATATATGTTTGACAAAAAAAATGTTGAGAACAAGCGCTTCAAGCAATTCTTTTATTTAATAAAAAGGTTATCCAAGTTAAATCAAAATGCTTTCCTGATCCATTGAGAAAAATGTGTTCTAAATTCCCAAAAATATTGAGGCCTTTTTGAGTCACATTATAACATGAAAACATTATTATACAAACTCAATTTTTTCCCTAATATGCACCAATAATACTGAAAATAATCTTGGGTACGAGTTGTCTTGGGTACCAGTTGCCTTGGGTACGAGTTGTCTTGGGTACCAGTTGTCTTGGGTACGACTTGTCTTGGGTACGAGTTGACTAGGAAGCGTCTAATTAACGGACTAAGTAAACACTGTGACCGAACGATTATTTTGTGTGAGAAAACTACATGCAATTGTATAGGTCGATTTATAGCTACATATTTCCCGTTCGATTTTATATGCATTGCTTAAAGTCTCGAATATCTCTCCATTGTCCTTTACTTACCGACACGTACTGTCCTTTTCTCATCTTTGTCCATCAATTTGAAAACATCCCTCTTTCGAAGTGTAAAGCAGTCGAATTCTTTAGTATAGAAATTATCATCAATGATACTTTTAATCTCTTGCACAACATATGTCACTGCTTCATTCGTAAAGCCGACGGCAGTGACATCCAGAGAGCTTCCATGGTAAACATCATGATCTATAACAATTTCCGTTTTATGTAGAATAAGCTTCATTTAGCAAAAGATGAGACATGAAGAGCATTTGTTTTTTAATGCTAAAAAACTTAAAATTTAACAAAATGCATACAGGCATTTGTAGATGGTTGCTTATTGACGAGAGCTTTCTGGAAATGTTGTCTTGTTATCCTTTTAAAGTCACTACCTTTTTTGGGCGAGGTTTTATGTTTAGCATCAGTAAGGTCGTAATTTCCATTATGTTCACTCTTCAGTATATCATTCAACTCGTTGAGCATGGCAACATCAAATACGTAGATAGTAACCAGCTTAAATGAAACAAAAATAAACATGATACGTTTAACATGATATATAATCAGGACGTATGTTGCATTCGTCATACGGATTTATGCCCTATGCATACGGCCCCTGATAGAACAAAATTTGTTATATAAATTCAGGGAGTTAACGCAAATTTAAACATCATAACTTAATCATCCAGGAAACAGTTAAAGCAATAGTTTGAAGAGGAATGTGCATTCGAATAATTATTTAATATACGACACGAGACAAGCAAAACATCAATACTGTTTTTTTAAATTAATTTACCGTAAGTGTTGTTTCAGTTTTATCGTATTCTCGGACACATGCCCTTAGCGCATTGTAAAACACACCCACTGGATAACCAATCAATCTACCGGTGCCAATAGTTGGAAGGGCGATGGTAGCCAAACCGTGATATGTTGCTCGTTTGAGTAATTTGCGTATCATTTCCTCCAACTGCTAAATTCACAAATTGGTACATACAGGATCCAGACGGCTGCTAATTTTTGTGAAATGTTGGTGATCTAGGCCGCTAAATGGACCAAATTAGGGGAGGATAATTGACAGTACATACAAAATTTTAGCCTTATCGTAATTTTTTTATAAATGCGGCTGTGTATTTTAATTGCTTGACATGAGAATAAACACATGTTTTATTAGAGCAGAATAGATTGTGTAATACATAAGTGTCCACTTGATGAGAACAATAGAGCAAAATGTTAAGTCATATACATGAATTATATTCAAACCTGTCCATTCCTGTCTTCTCTAAATGAAGGACATATTGCTGTAAAGACCAATGAGCATTGCAAATTGCCACACGATTCCGTTTCAATTATATCACCTTGGCTATTGTCGCTGCTTCTTGATTTATTCATCTAAATATTATATGAGAGGTCTGATAGATTACTCATTTCACTCTACTTATCAAAAAGGATATACAAAATATAAAACAAAATTAATTGGACTCAAGGCGTATTCTTTGTATTATACGAATATGTGTTATAAATATTTTTATTTAATTTGTTTCCACAATAGGTAGAGGATACGTGTAATGTATAGAGCTTAACCCCTAAATGGTTTTAGGGGTCTGTTTCGACCACAGAGCACATTCTTTGCAATACTTGTATCAGAAATAAGTATTCAATCTACATACAATTACAACTCAATCTCGATTTATTTATTTATTTTTATTTGAAACAAACCTGATATAGATCGTGGGATAACCTTTTGTCCTACTTGATTCAAAAAACATCATTATCACAAAAATTGTATTCATATTTATAAATGCTACCAAGTGCTACAAAACGATTAGAAATCTGTCCTCGTGTATTGGGGACCTATAAAACTTTTAGAAGATGTAAAAAACATAAAATAGAATTAATAACAATTCTGTGCATTTCACATAAAATGGCGTTCGATAAGTATTGCCAATTTTTCTTTAACTTTTGCTATCATTTTCGCTCTCTTGCTTTTTTCGACATAAAACTTTCACTTCATAAGGAACATATATCCGACCTTATTTTACATGAATTCCCTGACAATCAATTCAGTATTGAAAAAGTTATGGTTACTATTGTTACCATTGTCATGGGTATGCAGGACAACCTAAATGATTATATGATGAACTATTGTTAAACATAGAATAGGCACTTTTTAATGAAGAAAAACTGTTGATATGGTCAAATTTGGATGTTGTCAGTTTGTATTATGAATTACAAAGATCTATGATATAACAATATTTATAGTACATAATAGATAGTCTAAGAGGAAATGTTTTAAAATGATTAGATTCTTCGATCATGAACACTATTTAGTACGTCCATCTCATTTGCAGTTCGTTCCGGTCGCACTATGTCGGAGTGTACACGTATTGCAATTGATATCTGATTTCACAACGTCGTTCACGCATAGTAGGCTCAAAGTACGGCGAAAACGCGATGACCCTCAGGAAATCTTGAGCATGATTAAGTTCTGGAGGAACTATCCGTTCCAATACGTTCATGAAGTTTGTAAATAGACCTCAAACGGTTCTATTAGTACGTCCAATTAGTACGTCATACACAGTTTTAGTCCGTTTTCAAGAACGTAATGAGAACTTGCTAGTTTGGTGTAATAGTAAGATCTGTAAAAATGGGTGATCCGAAAGTGTTTCTGGAATTGATTATTTCTGCATACCCCAAGTTAAGCAGGATTATGTCATGCTGCTTTCAACACTCAAAATGTCATCCAAAAGTTACGTCAGAACTTTACCACGCATACATAACCAATGACAATGGTTACCATAACTTTCTCATAACTATCCCCCCCTATCACTCCAAACTAGTTCTTACCCGTTCTTGCTAGTCCTACGAAAATGTAAAACGGGCTCAATCTGGATGCGGTCGGGATATATGTCTAAAATAATTAGCTACTTCGTTCATAAACAGTCTTCAATACGTCCACCTCATTCGCAGTTCGTTCAGGTCGCACCACGTTGGTGTGCAACGTAGTATAAACCGTCCCTTAGTCTAGAAGGTCATCATGACCTGATTACAGATCGGTATGGTCGCCATCGAATTTTGAATCGATTCAAAATTCTAAATCACATTCCCCGACCGGGAAAGTCCATGACGTTTGTAAACAGACCGTAGAACGTTGAAGCTACGTTCATTCAGTTCGCACACAGTTTAAAACCGATTCGGCAACGTTTTGACGATCACCAGAAAATGTTGTGCATACTCTAAGTTCTGGGGGACCTACTCGTTCTAGTAGTTTCATGGAGTTTGTAAACAGATCAAAAACGGTTCTTAGTTGGTTCTTGGTACGTCAAATCCGTTCGTGCACAGTTTAAGCCCGTTTTCGAGAATGTAGTGAGAACTATCTTGGTGTGATAGTAGGGTTAGTAAATTGTCAGAAAATTGTCACAGGAAAAGGGCAGATATACAGGGTGTCCCGAAAGTATGGGCCCCCAAAGGAAACATATACCAATGTCTCAATAGTATGTGTCATATATCTTTTAAAGATCATCCAAAGTTACATTGATTTGCCAAGTATCATGGTTCAACTCACAAATGGGGAAAAAATACAGACATTTCAAATTCTAGTGTTTGGCCAAAATTAAAGTCAATTTTACACCAAAATGATAGTCGGTGTGTATCCCGAAGCCATGTTATATATGACTTTAAACGCGCTTCGATTAGGAATGTTGCATTTTGTTAATTTCTCATAAACCTCTTTAAAGGCATTTTAGAAAAGTTTCCCTGAAGTGTACGCCTCCAACGTCCTCTTTTTAGAACTCAATACCCATCCTATCTTGGACAATAGCACCCACATTTTCGGTCGCATTCAGGGCAGGGTTTTTACTAAGATACTGAAATAAACTATATTTCTGGCCAAACACTAAGTTTTGAAATGCTGTGACTTTTTTTTCACATTTGTGAGCTGATCCATGATACTTGGCAAACCAGTGTAACTTTGGATCAGCTTTAATATGATATATGACACATACTATGGAGACATCGGTATATGTTTGCCAAGGGGGGCTCCAGTACTTTCGGGACAGTCTGTATATGTTACTCATGTTGTTAAAGTTTCATGGAGAAAAATAAAGAGAACAAAAGTTAAAGCAATTTTATCGATACCTATTGACCAAGGTATTGACATATGCAATAATTATACCTTTTCGGCAAATTCAGTAGTTCCTTTAGCGAGAAACTGTTTAGCTATCTTTGACTTTGACTTTTGAAGATCGATATTCTTTTCCAATACATTGACAAGCACATCTGCCTAAAAGAAAAATCAAAGATATTTCATAATGCCTCAGTCGAACTCAAAGTCGCCATTCGATATATGCCTGCTGTATAAGGCAATATGGCTTCGCTGTTGAAGTAGAGCAGAAAGTCTTAATGTGTACGTCCATCGTAGCAGTTACACAAGCCATTCTGCCAGCCCGACCACAGGGTCGCCATTCCTTGGCTTTGAAGCTGCCTTACTTCTACCTTTATATTTTGTCACAAACCTTAAGTCGATCATGCGTCGTCACTTATGGAAGTCTATACAGCACCCGCATACTACTGTATCCATATTTCAAAATAGACTGTAAGACCGTCACAGTATTTGCAACTGGTACGATTTGCTACCATGAAAAATAATACGACTCCCTTAAAATTGGTGCACTTGCAGTTGTAATTTCTGACAGCACGATCGCCGTAGCAAACTCGACGTTTAAAGCTGTTAAATGTTAAGCTAGATATTTACCTTGGCTTCACTGACGTCCCCTTGTTCAATGGTCAAAGAGGTTTGTCCATATGTATGTATATATTGATTTGTATCGTCACCTTTGGCGTCGGTAGATGTTTTCTCTAGATTAAAGGTAATACGATGTTGGTGTTGAGAAGTAGTTTTGTCTCAATAACAAGGCGGTAACACGATATAACAAAATACTAAGAAATGCAACGATCTGCTTAATACAGATATTATAAGGAGAATAAGTAAATCGAATATGTTTTATATTGATATCATATTCCAAGTTTGTTGTGAACTAACTGAACTGAACATCATTTTTTGAAAACGATACACCATATTCTTGACTGATAAACAATGCCAATATTTTGGTACCTACCTTTGAGCGACGAGGATGAGAATTCCTTATTTAGCAACAAACTGAATTCGTTGTAAGAAGACTCACCATTCACGACGAGAGCCACAAGCTAAAGAATCATGTAATGAAAGCTATAACACAACGTAGGCCGTCTGGACTCATCGTTTGCCACCATATGATTACTAAGGGTCAGACGGTGGGACATTGCGTAGATACAAGATTGCTGTCATTACAAGTTATTCCCAATCACAAAAGATTTTTAATCAATTATAAAATCAATGCCCAAAATTAGCTACGCAATGGTGAACGATGGGCCAACATAGCTAATGTAACAGTTCCTTAAAGTAGCAACAAGGACTGTCGAGTTGTATCTAGTGATCCTTGGCCAATCGTAAAAATATGAAATCTTTAAATGTGTTATAGCCTTTTGCAACTAGAATTTGTACACATACCTTAAATCGATCGGTAATGGCAAACGGAAAGACTGTAATTCTTTGTCTTCTTCGTCGCCTTTGTCTCCACCAATTTTATTCAACCAGGAGTTATTTTCTCTAACGTCCGCACAATATTTTTTCACTTTTATTTAAGAGTTCACTTTGAATTCGATTTTAATGCTTTCTCATAATCATCAAAAGGTTTCTTTAAGAAATGTTTTCATAAAAGTCTCACACTATCGGTATTTTTTATCGACCGGAGCAGCCGGAAAAATTAGTTTCAATTTAACCCTCGATAGGTGTTTCCCCGTCTACATTTGAAACTTTACCAATTGAACTTCTTGTATAGAATTAAGAACTTTTTGAATACGAATTTTTAGTTGCAGAATATGGCCACGTCCATGCATTTTTATAAAATAGGAAGAAGGAAGAAGATGTTAAACCATACGCCGCTCTAAATGTCCCTTGGTGTTCTGGTCCTGGATTGTGATATTGGTTCTCGATTGGAGGGGGAGGGGGATGTTAGACATTGTTTCTTTTCACGTTAGAACATGGTTTTGAGATACATAGGGTCTACTTTTTTATGACAGATTTACACTTACAGTTTGCTTTTCTTGTTGGGTTTCCTTAACGTTTTTAGTCACCCTTTCCTTTTGGCATTTGTGCTTATATATTCTGATAGCTAAAAAAAGGTAAAATGTGTCCATTTTCCCTCGACGGTCCGTGTTGCCCCTTTAAGTGACTGGTATTTAATGCATTAATGATATTTCACGTTCACGAACACGTTATTTAATAGGGAAGTTAAGATTAGCGTAAAAAATATACGTGTACCTATCCTAAACCGTATTTTTGTTATGGATACGTATTGGTATTGCGTATTGCAAAATTAGTTTAAGATTAACGTAAAAGACTACGAAACCGTATGTCACAATTTATGATAAAAATGACATCCTAATTATAGAATGAAAACCATGAGATGGCTTATATTCATATACCAGTACATGTCACCTCCAAGAACTGTTATATACTTTAGAGAGAGTGTGGTGTAGCTGCTGTAGTTGGGAGGAGGTGTTTCTTGTGGGCCCGCTAATGGGGCGGTGACTTTAGGCGAAATGCTGAATTTCTAGCATGATCCAGCAATGAGAGTGACAAAATAGTAAATTAAAAATTAAAACCATGAGAAAATGGCTGACTTCATACATTTACAATAAACAAAACTAATGAAGAATGTGCAAATTCAACAAGTTCATGCATCGTCACATGGCATCGTATTTTAAAGTTAAATGAATGATATTTGATATACAAATGACATAATTTGCTGGGTAAAAACATACTTTCTCGAATAACCTATCTTCGGCCATTTATAGGTGTCGCTAACCCTATAACTTAGGTAAAACACCTTAGTGTATAATAAAAAACGATGTTTAGGTAAATGGGTTATTTACGCTAATCTTAAACTCCCTATTACAGCTTATCCCTACTGCCAATACACACTTGTGTGAATATTACTTAAAAGCGATTGTATTTTAGCCAATGATTACAAGGATATATTTCGAATAACACGTGAAGATATATTTGATATGTGGACTAAGAGATCATATTTTCGGACAAAATTCCCAAACCATCGAATATCACTTCTTAAAAGTGATATTCGATGGTTTCAAGTGATGCTAGATGGTTTTATAAGTGATATGCGATTGTTTAGATTTTTCATTTTTTCAAAACTTTTTTCATATATTTTTCAAAAAAAAAATTTCTCAAAATTTTTTTGGAAAGGTTTATCATTTTTTAATTCCTTTAAAAAATTGTTTTCAAATCTTTTTACACAATTTTTTTGTTATCTTTGCTCAACATTTTAAAAAAAAGTAAAAATGTTTTCAACAATTTTTCTTCGCTGATGATTTCCCAAACGGACAATCCCATGTTTTTCAAAAATATCAATTATATCAACACAGGGATATCTATATTTTCACTTATTCGCTGCGCTCATTCATGAAGATATCAATATCCACTCATGGATATAAATGATATTTTTTCAAAACCATAGGATATTCCTATAATATCCAATATATATCCTTGTTGTATTATAACTTAATATCGATGATTATACATTATCTAAACTACCGTATTCTCTGTAATTACCGCCCACTCTCTAATAAGCGCCCACCCCGCTTCACAAAGTTCAAGAAACATCGAGGAATCAACAAGAATTGAAGAATATATCAGGAAAAAAATATTTCTCAAAATCCAGGAGCGGGCGATAATAGAGTACTTACCCTAAAACTGTTGTAAACACGACGCGTTTTGTAATTCTATGCATCCTCTCGATACATATCTATCGATTGGTGCTTCCCACACCATACCATGCTAATATTGTCTCCAAATAGTCCATAATGAATGAAGGAATTGTTCTTTATCGGCATTCAGAAATTTCAAAAGCTACTGCGCAGATGTTCTGCGCATGTCAAGGTCGTGAACTTTCTGGTTTCTTTTTAATGTTTCTCGACTTTTACACGACTTTTGCACGAATAATGATGATCTCTCATCAAATTAGAAATAATGTATAACTTTAGATCGATATCCAGCAGTCTCTAGTGGAAATATTGAAGGTAATCGGCGATAATGACAAAGTGGGCGTGCCGGAAATAAATTAGACATAGACGGGTCTTCAACCACTGTCAATATTGTCTAAGCGATCTTTACCGTATTCTCTCCAATAACAGCACTTGTCATATTATTATAAAAATATGTTGAAGAAAATGCATTCTTGTCAAGAAAAATTGCCATACATGAAATTCCTCGGGATTTCTGATTTCTTTCATACATGGGCGCTTATTAGAATGGTCTAAATAATGTATTTTCAATTTTCTAAACGCCCTGGGCGCTAATTACAGAGAATACGGTATGTTATTTTGTGATTACCGAGAGCTTGTATATATGACCTGTGTATATGTTACATTGATTTTGATAAAAATGGCTCTACCTTGAGGGTTGCATCATGTGGTATATTCGTTACAGCTTTCAGGATACCATTCCAAACTCCCTTATTGCTGAATCCACTATATCCCGTTCCGATAGCAGGTAAAGCTACACTACCTTTGCCTAATTTGGTTACTTCTTCAAAGCATTTCGTAATAATGTCCTTGTAAATACAGTTTAACAAGTCGTTATAACAGTGGAGAGGTTAAGGTACACATATATGGGAGGAACTGGACATAAACAGGTAATATTATGAGCCCCGGAAACTGTTGTTCACCTTTCAATTGGTTAAAACGGGGATCTTATAATTATTTTTCTAACACATTTAACTCACTTGGGTAAATTACGGACAGTGAGGTGAAAAAAGTTCAGAGGGAACCATACTCTTACATATCACCCGTGCAAGTTCTTCACAACAGTGTTAATAGACTTAACCTCTCTATTAGTATAAATGTGTTTATTCTTCATCGTAGCCCGGACAGAATTGTTCAATGGTCACTTTTTCTTTAATAACTCTTTTAGATTTCAGTATCATCAAAATCTGATTACATATTTGAAAAATAGTGAAATTCTGGCATACAAAAATAATATTTAAGGAATATCTCTTAATTTTTTGATATTATAGACATTCATGGTATGAGTGACACAAAATACATAATTCACCATTTTGCCTAGTAAAAATTTTGTATTGTTCAAAATTAAATGGCAGCATATTTCGTGAATTTGAATGTTCAGTTGAGAGTTGATACTTAAAGATTGTCATAGGCCTATAAGGTCATGCTGCCACCTTTGCAATCCTGATGTGATGCACCAACTGACTAATCATTAAATACAAAAGGTCAACTCCCTCCAAGGGCATATGAACTCAACTCTATTTAAATGTTCGGGGTCGTGTTCAAGAGATGTGAAAAGGTGGCGCCCCTATGTTCATGTGTGATGAGAGTAGGTCCTCGGTCTTTTTAAGAGCTCAGAAAGCCCTCTCAACGACCATTGAAAAGCTGAAGAACAATTCATATGCATGCCGAGGATGGGTTAAGAGGAGTGTGACTGGGAAATACATTAAAAACTGTGGCAGTTGGACCCTATAGCTGCACGGGTTAAACGAACTAGGGTTGCTAATCCACTACGGGTAACAATGGAATGGCCAAATCCTGCTACCCCAACCAATATACTGTACATACAATGTACAAAGTCCATGTAGCGATATACATACAAGTCCATTAAAAGCAAGGTTTTAAATGCTGTCATTACCTCATACCAAAGCAGCATTCTATATCATGACTTCGTAGGCCTGTGACACTTCGTAAATATTAATTTTCAAATGAACATTCAAATTCAAAAAAAACATGCCGTCATTTTTGAACAAATATGAGACACAATGGTGAATTATGTATTTGCATTACTCATACTATGAATGCCTATAATATCAATAAATAAAGAAATGATCCTTAAATGTTTTTGTATGTTGGAATTTTAATCTAATTTTCAAGTTTGTAATCAGATTTTGAAAATACTGAAAATTAAAAAAGTTATTAAAGAAAAAGTGACCATTGAACAATTCTCCCCTGGCAACTTTCATGTATTTATCCTATAGTTAAGAGTATCTTTCAATGAAGAGAATATTGCTCCACAATTTATGCATAAAGCATGCTATTCAAGGGATGTCAAGTTCCAAATTATCCATTTGTGAATGGAATTCCATTTCCAAAATCGTTTTAAAATGAATCGTATGTTAGTTCACTTGCAGATGTGTACAATAATTCCTCACAGCATTTTCAAAAATATGAACATATTTCTTACGAAAACCCCATCCTTTGAAGTGTTATACAATGGACAGACAGCGTGGATAATTTTTTCAGCATTTATCTTCGAACCGACATCAGTCACGAATACATCTCCATATTGAGCCTCTCCATCCTCTAATGCATCTTTGAGGTCTTGAAATATCTAAACGAAATCTATACAGTTCAGAATGTTTGTATATTTTCACGGTGTAAATTAAATGAACAATGAAATTAAACTGGTCTGATAACATGCTTGCCAATCAAAGGTTCCTTACCTTGGAGAATTCGGCACCGCCTTTTTTAAGAAAGGCCTTCGATGTAGCTGATCCGAACAATTTACGAAAGCAGGAATTAACAAGCACATCAGCCTAAAGTAGGTGTATATGTATTTAAAAGACAGTGAGGCGGCCCAAATAATGGGTAAATTATATAAAATTAGTTGAGCGGGTAGAATTTTGTTTTCTGTTGGATGTTGATTTATTTTTTCAAGAGACAGTTCATAACTGAGTTGCCAAATAAATAGGCGTAGTACATGGCAAACTACGTTAGGTCTTCTTATATTTTTTTGATCTAATATGCTTCTAAGAAATGAGATCCATTAAAAAAGGCGCATCGTCACCAACGTGCAAAAGTCAATGCTTTTGCTATAAATCAGGCAAGTGGTTTACACGACCTGTAATAAATAGGTATAAGGGACGTCATTATAATAAGACTAATGATATCATTGGATTTTAAAAGCTAGCTTCCATACGTTTAAAAATTGAAATTGAACGGAGGGGGAGTAAACGGGGGTGGGGGGAATAACGTGTATATAAGACATGTTTCCATACGTTTAAAAAAAAAATAATCGAAAAATTAAAATTGAACGGAGGGGGAGTAAACGGGGGTGGGGGGAGTAACGTGTATATAAGACATGATAAGACATGTTACTTGAATTTATTTATAAAACTCCAAACTTTTCCATTTTCATTCCCCAGAGATGTGATATCCAGTTTCTTATTGAGGTACTGCGTTGAGTGTTTTCAAATACATGGGTTCTTGTAAATTTGTTCCATCTTAAAGACATATTACTTCCCCTTCGTTCACTCCCCCTCCCCCCTCCGTTCAATTTTTTTTCGATTATTTCTGTAGTGTTATGTAACTCACTCTTGGAGATATTGTGTTTAGCCTTTAAATGTTAAGTGACGTCATTAGTGTCAGGCTTTAAGACATACATCCAGGGCCTTCCTAGATGCCCGCCATGATGTGATATTATGATTCTTGATAGCTGGTACAATAAAGACTTTATGAAGCTCACATCTGAGTTAGTTCACTCAATCATAATAACAGAACAATTTCTTGTATTACACATGAAAACTAACCTTAAAAAGAAAGCAATGTCATTTGTGCTGTGATAATAACACCCCTTATAACTATTTATAACGACTATAGTTGCCTGTTTAATAGCAAAAACATTGACTTTTGCACGTTGGTGATGATGCGCCTTTTTTAATAGATCACATATCCTAGAAGCGTTTCAGTCCAAAAATACAAGAAGACCTAACATATTTTGCCATGGCGTCTATTCATTTAGCAATTCAGTTGTAAACTTTCTCTTGAAATAATAAATCTTCAAGATTTGTTGGATTTTCTTGCAGAGATCGTCCCCCCCCCCCCTTCGTTCACTTTGTCCGATCACCGGGCGTGATTTTGATTTAGAAAAACAAATCTATCAATAGTACAATAACGTCATTTCTAAGGGCAATATTTCACTATATTGCTCGCAGAAATGACGTTATTAGTATTATTACCACCGTTAACGATCAGGACTGAAACAGCAAGAAAATGTTACGCATTGAACGATATCTAATTTCCCGGGGAAAATTGCAGGTCAAGAATATATTCTAGACCGGTCCATATGGACCACCACTATGGGTAACTTGAAAATAGCATGCTTGATTTAACATAATAACTATTTCTAATTTGTTGCTCCATTAATACCTGCTGTTCACTGATATCCCCTTTCGTCAAGGTCAATTTAACATTGTTAGGTGTTGTCAAAGTATTAACTTGTGTAGTTAATCGCTTTCCTTCAGTCGCGCCAGGATTATATGGCGGAATCATATATTTCGGTTTCGGTTTTATAGGTGGCTTGCATTCTGGACTTCGATTACTTTGAGGAATCCTAAAATATATACTCATTTTTTCAAGAAATCTACTTTGCAACCAGCATATAACAAAGGTCATCGACCTTTTGATTAAAGCATTGGATAGTTTAAGCTAGCGATCTTTATCACAACGAAACCCCGAACGGAAAGTACATGAATCAATATGGCAATGTATAGCGCGCATTCCAAACAAGTGCTTATAGTCCATGGCATGACTTACGAATTAAAGGATCCATAACACACTATAGCCCAGCAATATTTGAAGCAATTATGAGGAGGTGCAAATGTCTTGATTTTTTAATACACTTTGCTGAAAAAAATTCCGGCTTTCGGGTCGAAAATTGTCTTTCATCACAAGGGGTCGAAAAACGTAAATATTTTGGTTCGAACGTTGATACATTTTTTAAGACCAAGACCGTTATTGTAAGCATACAGATAAAAAGGATTATCATAATGTAAAATTTACTATTAGTCTACTATAAATTAATTAGTGTAATTACACAAGTGTACTTTTCAGTTTTTGTTTGATTTTTCAAATATAAGACAAGCAAATTCAACAAAATTGTATGGAATATTAAGGTAATTAATAATTTGAGAACATTTTAATTTTCTTACCATTTCAAAAATGTTACTACCAGAATGTATCCACATTATCACAGGGGGTCAAAAAACAAATTGTTGTTCATGTTTTATAAAACATATTTGAACATAACTGTGTTTACGCCTTCTATAAACTGTGAACAAAGTCAATGTTTCACCCGGGGCATATTCGAGATCAATGCCCCGGCTCTGTACTTAGTGTTTCGTTCAGTGAAAAAGTAGAAATTCACGATTATGCAATATTCTTGTGAGTTTTTATGTTCGAATCGTAATATAAACCTCAGAGCAGGGCTACTATTTTCAAATACACCCATTAGGGCTAGGAACAAAAGATTTGAACAAGGTCATCCAATAAGAAGAAGGGGACTGCTTGGTCAGCGTTTCAGCACAAGTATCAAGCAGACTTACAATTTACAGTGATAGAACAAGATCTCACCTAATGTACACGTAATATAAAATAAATATTGAAATTAACTGCGTTGTAGTTTAAACAAACACTGAAGCCCAAACGGCTATTTAAGTGAGGAAGCTACGTGTATTTGTATGCACTTTAAACGTATACATTGCTGTTTCGATGTTATCGACTCGCTTAAACTCTCCAGTAACATTGTATGTAACTTGTAACTCATTTCGAATCGTAGCTAAACTCCAAATTTAAATGACGAAATTGAATTATATTCTTATATTCAAATAGGTTTTGTCACCCAATGCTACTACGATTAAATACCATTAAATGGAAAATACTGTGACGATAAACATAGTTAACAATACAGACCACACTTTTTGAAGAATATAATTCACTTACTCTTGTGGTACATCGATCGTGACTTCTCTTTTTCCTGGATCTATTTCTTTCAGCAAACCAACTCCCATTGCACTCCGAATAAATCCTACCATCCCTACGTGATAAAGAATTTAAATGTAGGTAAACATCATTGTAAAAACGTTGACCTTGCATTGGCTATACATACACTCCCCTCCATAAGTTTGGCAACCTAAGCTCCCCCATTGATCGAACTACGTGTTAAAGCCTCTATACGTTTGAATTTTTCTTAGCTTAACCGTCGATGCAATAACTTATAATATTGATGGAAACGTAACTTGACTTTATTTCCCATACCTCCAAATTTTCTAAAAATAAATTCCGCAATTACAATGGGTCGAACATTGATGATTTTGATGAATTTTTGAAAATCGTCATTCCCATGTAATCCAATGGAAAATGGATGGTTCGGGGCAAATCAGAAATCAGGATATTTTTGTGCACTAACGGTTTAGTTTATTTGATAAATACTAAAGTAACAGCGCTTCAAAGTCATTTTTGAAAATAATTTTTCGCCTGCTATGTTATTTCAATGGGAGTGGTTTTTTGAAAAACAATTTTCACTTTAAAGCCCTATAACTTTGTAGAGCCTGAAGAAACATATCAATTTTTTGTTTAATAAAGTTAGCAAATTCAATTTCCTGCCTAACTCCTATTTTTGCAAGGACTCGGATGGATGGGTATTCTGTCATATGACTTGCGGCAAACCTACCATTTCCCATTGGTTAACATGAGGATGTCGATTTACAAATTCATAAAATGTATCATCAATATTCGACTTATTGTAATTGAGGGGAAAAATTGAGAAAATTTGGAGGTATTGGAATTAAAGTCAAATTACGTTTTCAATAATAGTATACCAGTAAGTATTTTCATCGCAGGTTGAATAAATAACAATTCAAAGGTAAAGAAGCATTAACACGTAGTTCAATGGGGGATCTAAGGTCGCCATAATTATGGAGGTGAGTATAAGTTATATACCAATATAAAGATTACAAGAAAGAAGTAGATACATATTTCTGTTTTAACAAATTTGTTACCTGGTTTATCGATTCTTATTTTTTGAGCTTCTACTGTTTTTGACATATGTTCCCATGTATCTTTAACTTCAGTCACTGCATCAACTGGACCCTCGACTATTATTTTCGAGTCCACTTCCCTTATGCACACATCTGACCTGGATAAATCGTTAACGTTTTTTTATTAGCTCCATTATAACAATAAGATATCTCACAATATAACAACATATATGTAAATTGTAAATTGCGCCCGTTTAAATTTATGGACCTACTAAGAACCGTTTGGGATCTATTTACACACTTCATCGAACGTACTCGAACGGGTAGGTCCTCTAGAACTTAGACAATGCTTAAAATGTTCTCGTAGTCGTCACGTTCTATAATTAGAACGAGTTACAACGTACTAACGACGAGCTGGACGTACTACGAACGGAACCGTCGTACTTCAAACCTACTAGGGACGTTTTAACAACGAGTTGAACTGTCTGAGGACGTGTTGAGAACGAGGTAGAACTAATTGCAAACGGGTTTAAACTGATTAAGAACGTATTTAACACTGCTTATGAACGAGTTAGCAAAAATATAGCTATCACACCAAACAAGTTGCCACTGCGTTCTTCAAAACTGGTTTTAAACTGTGTGCGAACGGAATGAACGTAGCTGCAACTTTCTAAGGTCTATTTACGAACTTTTTGAACGTTCTCAGACGGGAATGTGATTTTAGAATTTTGAATCAATTCAAAATTCGATGGCGACCATACCGTTCTGTAATCAGGTCATGTTGACCTTCTAGACTAAGGGACGCGTTCTACTACGTTGAACACCGACGTGGTGCGACCTGAACAAACTGCGAACGAGATGGACGTATTGAAGACTGTTTAAGAACGAAGAAGCTAATTATTTCTGACACATTTCCCGACCACAGCCAGATTGAGCCCGTTTTACGACGTTTTCGTAGGACTGGCAAGAACGGGTAAGAACTAGTTTGGTGTGATAGGGGGGTTAACTACTGTCTCAATCCCGGCAGTTTACCATTTTACGCAAAAGACAAAATCCCATTCCTACTTCAAACGTGCATAGCCCATCGTACAAAGGCCTCTCATTATTGATAGTATTGTTTACGATATAAACGAGTCGACGATTTAAGGATTATAAACACTGCGAAACCGTTTCAACAACTTTGTGACAAGAAATAAAATGTAAATTAATTTTCTGAGGTTTGCACAAAAGTGAACTTTTCTCAATCGTATATGACATTAGCGATGGAGAATGACAAACCACCTGCCTGGTAAGCCCGTACAAAGCAGGGAGGTGCAGGAGAGTGCAGGGACCCCCCTCCCCATTACCAAATATGTGTTTACACTCCGCATCGTTGACGCTTTGAATAACCATTATCGTCGGCACAACCAATCCGTGCGCAAAATCGCCCAACTCTCGAGAAATCCTTCGGACGGGCCTAGTCTGATAATGGTCGCATAGTTTCTTTTCAGTTAGAAATTATTTATTGCTCGATGCCAACTCATTTAATCAGACGATTTTGCGCTATCATATTTTCACTTTCTGGCTAAATTGATAATCATACATTGATAATACATTAAGGTAATATTGTTCTACAAATTGTGATGGGGATATGATATTATTGAGTATCCAGTACTTACCCGGAAACTGCAGACAACAGCTTTTCCTTTCCAAATTTCTCGAAATGGAGTTTGTGTTCAACCTTTAGTTCAGAGGCAATCCGATAATGCCTTGCTACATAGTCCTGTACTTTGGTAATTGCTTTCTTGACATCTTTCTTGACACCAGCGATAAGTACATCATTTTGAGTAGACTGATACGCAACTGATACCACAAGATCATTATGCATATTCCGCACATGTTGTTTCCATTTCGCCTGCGTCAACAATACGTTACTGTCCGTCTTTAAGACAAATTTATCATTGATAAATAGTTGATCGAAAATTTCACATGCGCTTTCTGCCTGTTGTTCATCCATAGAATAAAATGTAATTGTTTCATCACAAATATCTGCTACAACATGTAGATCAGATTGCTTGAGTTTTTTTGTGAGCACATTGTATCCTTTGTTCTTTTTAAATACTTGCACCAACCCTTGAGATAGTTTGCGGTTCTTTGATTTAAATTCGATATCACGGACAAGCTCGTTCATTTTCAGTTTAGCTCGTCTTATAGTACCACTATCGTTTGACTTAATCACTACCCCATCTTCTCTGAACCTGCAGTCAAAAGTGTCCTCTAGATCGTCCCACTGATTTTCGATTTTCAAAAGTTGTATTATCGATGGATTCATTTGGATAGCGTGCTTTTTGCTGGTAGGATGATCTTTTTTGAACCCATCTACCGGTGCTGGTGTAGCACCTTGCACAGTAGGTGCACGTGGTAACTTGGTGTGACTTATATCAGAATTCCACTCTTTGGGTCGTTCTAAAGATCTCTGTGTTTCGACTTTAGGAGTTTCCACTACGCTGTGTTTCAACTCATCTATGGCTCCCATGACATGGGATTGCTCAACCTCTTTTTCAGTCTCAAATGTTAATACTTCACCACCTTCAGAATGATATCTCGGAAATCCTTCCCACACGGCTTTACTTAATGCGTGTACTGGTATTTCTTCTTCAAAAATGTCTTCATCATCTAGCATTGTGCATTGAATACCACCAATATCACTATCTTCCATGTCATCACATCTTGCCTGTAGCTCCTCTACATCTAGATATACACCCAAGTTTCGGTGAATTTAAATTTGCAGATGTTGAAGTCAAGTTAATGCTTTCAAACCACAAACGAATAATTCGTCTGGAGTACCTTTTTAATACGTACAGCTTTTTTAAGAAATATTACCTTTGTTGGTTATTTGTTGAATATACATAGAACAAATATGAAGCGATCTACGCAGAAGAATGTGATGTTATATTTGATTCAACAGTATGCAATAATATTTAATAGCTGTCACTTACCCTTAATACCACATCGAAATGTTACAATAGCTTCTCCATTTCCCTCTAAGGATACCGATGAAACTGAATTGCTGACTCTCTGTACTACTTCGTCAAGGTACATCTCCAAAGCATCTTTAGATGTATTCCGATTGAGACCCTGTAAATAATTATACGACTTTTAATCATGTTCCATTTTTTGCAAACCTACTAAACTAGGATGCATTTGCTAGATGTATCAAAATTGTCACGACCTTGAAGTTTGATGCTTTATTGGTCTCGTCCATTGCCTGCAGAGTTTCAATGATAACAACAAATAAACATAATTGCAAAATCAGAAAAATATATTTTGACAATAATTATGTCCCGATGCATTTATTCGTTCTTACTATCAAGATATAAAGTATGTAGAGTGCATGTATATGTATAAAACATAAGCATTAGGGTGAAATAGACATTGGTTAATGTGATGACGTATCAAGTATAATGATAATAACCTGTGCGCAAGTGATTCAGAAGTTGAACATTTGATGGTCAGCACAATGCAACAAAACGCTAACCCAGGTGCTAATTTAATATGAGGGTAACGATTTTTGTATCCGAGCGAAGATACCTCAAGAAAAGCCGGCGATTACCGAAGATTTACATGGAAAACAAAGTTGGCCGAAGATAACACGAATGTGAAGAGGGTGAATAACCCATTGTTCTGATTGGTCAAAATCGACAAACAAAATGGCGGCCTCATAATTATGTTCATTTCCGGCTTGTTAACCAGTATCGTAGCTTGTTATTTCACATCAATATAAATTAAGATGTGGAATATGCTCAGTGACAGATGCCTCCCGCCCTTTTAATTTGGTAGGGCCTCAAAAATGAGCCTTTTGGACATATTTGGCCATTGAAGCCAATTTTTCAAAAACTGGGCCTACATTTTTCAAAAATGGGCCCAATTTTTTGCTTTAGTTGCCTAAATATTTTTGCTAGAACTTTTTTCCATGCTCAAAATTTGAGCCCCTATTATTAATTGCTGGATCCGCCACTGATGCCAAGATGATGATGATCCGCCATTTAAGCCATCGATCAAAACATTACAACGACGTGCTATATTTGAAAACTAGCTGGTGATAACACCTTATTCGGTTGCATTGGCGAAGGTCCGCTGCATGGCATCAATAGCCAAACCTCTGTTGAACGGAAATGGTGCTCTCTCAATGTAAAACAGAATGCAGATGCGTGCGCACTTCGCATACTAATGCCTTGGTCACATTTGCTCCGATTTTCACTATGGCGCCCGGCCGATTGAGTATTATATTCAAAACTGAATACAATTTTGAACAAGATACTCCATCGGCCGGGCGCCGGTCGATGAATTTGAGCAAATGTGACCCAGGCATAAATGGAAACGCAAACTATCGTGTCCCAGGCATCGATTATTCCATAGTTGAAACTTATCTGAAACAAAACCAGTTCACGGATTATAATAACTTACCTTAACTAGAATTTTGTTATACTCCATTGCGTTGCTGACGTTATGTGTCCGAGTTAACATTTGTAGTTCATGATTCTCTTGTCTTTTCTAAAAATAAAAAATAAAGTTTAAATGTCTGTTTGATTCAGTTTCGTTTTAAATTGTGACGAAGAAGTTTGACGTATTTCAACTGCACTTCACATTCTAACCATAGGCGTTAACAAATTGAACCTGGTTGTGCAAGCATAAGAACACTTTTTTAAAAATTAAGAGTAATCGTGAAATACACATTCGATACTTCCTTATGAAGTGCATTGCTCTTATGTCTTACCACGAACTCAAATTGACCGATTAATTCGTTTATCTAAGTTCTAATTATTCTTCGAAGAACGCCAATTATGTTATTTTTAAATCAAAGTTTTCCGAATTTGGATACATTGCTATATAATTGTGTCCTACTGGTCACGTTTGACCAACGTTTGTATTTTCACGGTGTTATAGCATGAGGGTTACGCCACCTCTGAAAACGAGATTAGACGACTACGATCACTGATTTCCAATAAAATGGCTGCGATGAAACAGGAAACTAAGGTTGGTGCAGTATTTTCTCCTACTGTGTATCAATGAGAGGATGAACGATTTTTTAGACATCGCATTCGGTGATGTATTTAGTAATGTATATTTTGAACGTATTCTTTGCAAATTGATGCCCGGGGATAACATGAAATAAGCGAAAAACTGCTGAGTTTGAAATGTAAAACTACACAAATGTAAGTAATTTGTTTATTTTTGTCGTTTGGGCATAGTCTACATTGCCTAACGACCTCGGGGTATATAGATGTAACCTACATACGATCATAAAAAGAAAGCCAATTGAGCATTGGAAACCACCTAATATGTTCTTCGATTGTATTTTTAATTTGCGGTTACGCCAAAAATTGATTGACGGTTACGTGAACCTCGTTCAAATATGTATCCCAGATTCATTGTTATTAATTTTGTCATATTCATCAGTACTTGATGCTAATTCTTCTTTCGCCTCTTCATTGCTATCTTTTTGACTTAAATTGGTTTCAATAATAAAGCAAGACACAATTTTTTCCTTGCCCTATAGAGGCTCAAACAAGAGCGTCTCTTGCAAGTCCTGAAAACAAATATAAGCAATTCAATATTCCATTTCTTACCCATTATAACAATTACATGGAAAGAGGCTATCAGAACTAACAACCTTAACTTGAAAGATGTGCATGCATGTAACCGTCCGCTAAATATCTAATGTACATCTAATACAATACGTTACCGTCCATAGAATTCATACGTAGTCGTCTAACGACATTGCGTTTGAAACCTTATTATTTACAATATGACCACGTTCCTGTTCTGGATGTGTCATTTTATGGCTTGTTTATACACAGTTTACTTACTGTTAATAGTTTGAGTGGCTCTGAGGCACATATACTGAGAAATCACGAGAATGGACTAAAAAATATGAACTTGGACATCTCAGCCGCTTCTAGTAAAACACCTGGCAGATTTGACCCAGTCTTTATGACCATCTATATATATTTCACCGAATGGAACTAGTTAAAAAGGAAATCTTATCTGTGAATCTTGGCGAGAAAGAGGACATGCTGTCTTTCCCATCCGCCATTTTTTGTTATCGTTACCGCAACATTTTGCAAATCGCAAATCGCCTTGTTGTAACCGTCATGCTATAACACCGTGATTCTATAGATCAATCGATCGTTCTAATTTGAAAACCCACACAATTGCTCACTATAGATAAACAAAAACTGAGGGCCATTTAAGGACAGGGTGCATGTTGGGAAATTTTCTGCATTCCTCAATTGAGTCACATGTTATTTTTCAAACATGAATAACTCCTTCCCCACATTGTCTACATCTTTTAAGTTTGCACAAAGAGTGCACTTCTGTGCCTAGAAAAGCCTTGTGAGAAGGTTTGTTTTGTAAAATGTATAAAAAATGAGAAAATTCAGTGAAAAAAAATTCTGAAAATTTTCTGATTTTTTTCACTGAATTTTCTTGTTTTTTATACACTTTATCAAAACATTCTTCTCACAAGTCCTTCCTAGGCACATAAGTGCACTCTTTGTGCAAAACTGGAAGATATAGACAATGAAGGGAAGGAGTGATTCTTGTTTGAAAAATAACATGTGACTCAATTGAGGAATGCAGAAAATTTCCCATCATGCACCCTGACCTTAAATGAAGTACTCCGAAACCAAATAACATATATGTAAGTGAACTATTCACTTACCTGTTGCGTATCAGTAGGAATCGTCAGGATATATCCATTGAGAGAATTGTCATGACAATCGAAGGTATTACAGGATTGCAATTGATGAACGGTCGTACTCTTTAGTAGACACATAAATCAAATAAGCGACTTGACCCAGCAAGCCCAATCACAAAGGTGAAACTCAATAATTTTAAAAATAAACATCACACATACAAGGTGACATCTTTTTGAAAATGAAAGAAAGTTGAAACAAAAATGTTTAAGGTGACTTCAACGGATTGCATATTAGAATAATTGAGGGCAGGAAGGACAGAATGTTTTGAAAATTAAGTAATAATACACAACACAACACAACATAACGTAACAAAAAATATAACAAAATATAGTACAAGGCATTAACATGATAAAATGTCACCACCTTGTTGCCTACAATATTATGAGTTTAACCTTAGGTAGATTTGAATTTTATAGAACTTGTAGATGATTTTGAAAAAAATAAAGTGGTCAATTTGAAGCAAATTGTAAAAAGACCGCTTTTCACCCTGAGATTGTCATTGAAGGTGGAATGTCAAATCTAAAGTCAGATTTGAACTCCTGATAACTTGTACAGATGCAACATGAAAAAGATCTTTTTGACCTTGAGAATGTCATTGAAAGTCAAATCTATAGTCAGATTTGAACTGTCGAGAACTTGTAGATGGTTTTGAAAAAAAGATTGGTCAATTTGAAACAAGTTGAAAAACACGTTTTTGACATTTTTTACCTTGAGAAGGTCATTGAAGGTAGATCTCAAATTTAAAGTCAGATTTGAACTTATAATAACTTGTAGATGATTTTGAAAATTTTAAGCAAGTTGAAAAAAAGATAAGTTGAAAATTATGATTTTGAATGTAGTGAAACCGATATTTTGATAATTTTAACAGGATAATAAATCTCTTCCCAATATTAAAATTATATTTCGAACATGAGAGCATTCGATCCTTCTGTGAACAAAGTCAATATTTCACCCGGTATTTATTCGTCAATATAATACTTGGTATGTACATAGTGTATCGTTTACTTAGACTTAAATGAAAATATGTCACTTGTCTTAAACCAAACATATTGACTCCATATTAGGTTAAGATCAATACGATTTGGTGTTTATTGCAAACAGGCTTGAAAATCAAATCTTCGCTAAAATAAGTTGAAACCATTGCATTTTTAATAATCAACGCAGCACGTGACGAACGTGAGACATTGAAAGTAAATTCTTCAAATATTCCTTTAACATGTAATCACCCTCATATTTTATGCCGAAAAACTGTCTGTGTTTGACAATGCGATAGCAAAGGATAGATATCGAACAGTGAACAGTGAACATGCAATGCTCTTGACTGATCATTCTGCTGTTTTAATGATTTCATTAGAATTCTGTCTATGGAATTCCGTACGGCAATTTTGGTGTTCTTGCTCAGAGGCAAGGCGTTTTAGTCGTCTGATGTTTTACTGGGTGTTCACCATTGTATATTCTTCATGTTTCCAATTAAAATGTCATACAAGACTTTCATTTCATGTCTTCTTTCGAATTTCCTTCTCTCAAGAATCTCAAGATATGATTTTATCTCAATGTTGAATTTCTGAAAATTGATCACATACTAAGATAATCCATGATGTCACAAAAAATCGTTTTTGTGTAACAAACTTGATATTATATTATCATTCATAGATTTTAGTTAATGTACATAAAAATATTCAGATGGGATATGTATGTGAAAATATTGCACTGTTAGAGGTTTCTGTTCTGTGGGGTCATCCTGTACATATAAAAATTCAAATATGGCAATTGTGTCTCAACCATCCGGCTTGAAATATTAATGTACATCAATTACATTGCATTGCAGTGCATTCTAGTTTTGAAATGAGCTGAACAGTGCAATTATTCGTAAACGAGTGATGTCATTCCAAGGCTTATATGGTACCATAATTGATGCTTAACACTGTTAGTATTTAAGTATACTCTATATGACATACTATTAGGCAGAGATTTTATAATCAAATGAATTAATTTAGTGCAATAATATATTTTCGAAACATTCACAATCAATGTCACATGTTCGCTGTCAAAGTTATGTCAAACCGTCAACTTTTTATTTACCAAATTATAGCGATTTGGCTTTGAAAATAGACGCCTTGTCTAAAATAACATGACACCAACTGATGGATTCATTCTTTCACACTTTAAATACACCAATCATGTGTGACGTATCCCAAAATTTAACTGAATTCTGACAAATTGACTTGATGCTTTTTACTCATTTGTATTCAGACTTTATGCATACACATCTTTACTCTTTGAGTTATGGTTAAGAAAGTCACAAACTGTATCGTTTTTCTACAAACCTTTTGCAGTAGTAACGAATAAAATCCATGTAGTTCTCAGTTTGTACAATTCATTTAAATTTAAATGACAGTTCACATCATATTCAAAATCAATGACGTCAATAAAATATACAGTTTATATTTAAGGTTTTCTTCATATGAAAGCACAAAAACACATATGCGTAGAAGAGCAAAATAATTTAAAAGTATTTTCGCATACATCGTCAACATCACGGCAAACGACTTCAACATGGCCAGGAACTCATCAGATCAAGTCGCCACAACAAACCCATGTAAAGCATGCTGTTTAAAGTATGTGTGGCAAGGTGGGTTCAGAATTTTATTAACTACAATGACATATAACTATCGTGCGTCAGTCATTCAGTTTAGAGTATTGATGTACATTCGTTGAAGGTGCATATGATACGACGTCAGATACTGTACATCACGGCGTAACAGTGTAATTGTTCATTTTACCGACAAAATGTAAAGATTTACGCGATAAATATGCGCAATGCTCCTCCAAGTAATTGCAAACGTTTTAATATTCGTGGAATCTTCTTAAAAACTTCAAGTTTTGTTCAGATTAATGTGCGCTTCAATACAATTCTATATTCAAAAAGGTTGTGTCACGATATACAGAATTAGAATCACCAGAAAGAAGACATTTCAAACCCTACCCGTTTTCTTCTTTGTCGCGTTTTTCGGCCCTGCGCTCTCGTTGTCGCACCGTCTTTCTAGACTCTTTCACAATGCCCCTTGTCATATTCAACTGATAAACACAGACGGGAAGATATTAAGGATTGTTAAATGCATTATTTGTAATTTATTTTAACTCGAATATTTAGTTTTATTTATTTAAAGCAATGAATAATAAAGGAGAACATATAATACGCTAACGGCGTAACGTCTTATTTTGTAAAGGCTTCACTTGGGGTTGCGGTGATAAAACGATGTCTATCTCACTATATACTGGTTCAAATTTAATGAAATTAATTGTATGTAGTAAGGGGTATATTTAAAAGAACATGCTGAAACATTGGAAAGTTTTGAATGTTTATCCCTTTATTAGAAATATTTGAACTCAAAAAATGAAACGTAATTTTGTGAATTTTTCACATGGCTTCACTTCATATTTCTTTCAATTTATACTTCTTACAGACTGAATTTTAATCGAAATGATATAGTTTTTTGATAAAAATATAGAATATGATATGCCTTTCGGGAATCAAAAAAGAATATTTCACCTTTTAAGCGATTTAATGTTTAATTGATCAAAATATATATCTTGTTGGTACGAAATTCTGCCTGTCGACACTTTTTTTGCATAAATATAAGCGTTAAGTTAGCATTGTTATATTATGACGTCATCACACAGAATCTGTTTGTCTTTTCCAAAATGGTGAATTTAAATATTGTGAAAATTTGAGAAAGATCCGTTGGGAAATGAAAAAGTTATCTTCATTTTTCGTTTAAAATTAAAATCACTTTTCTTCAAAATGTTACAGTCGACACCCAGTTTTAGCATAGAAAGTCGCATAGTACGGCTTGCGTGATTCTCATTTAAAAAGTCCCAAATCAGTTATGTGGAATTCTGATAGGCAAAATATTTCATGGACATACGTGTTCAACTGATGACGAAAAATTGTAGAAAAATATGATTTTGCTGTCGAGATATTGCGGTTTTAAAAGTAAGTACGCATGTAAAAATGCAGTAAAATGCCGCGATGTACAGTATCTGACGTCGTATCATATATGGTCAACTGATCAGAAACATTAATATTTTACAACTACATTGTAGTTTCATAATGAACCGAGCAGTGCAATAATGGTAAACAGTGATCACATAGCTTTGTGTTTTTTGACATTTTCAACTTTTTAGTAATTGTTGTTTATTATATTATAATCGCCTTCACACTTTAACTGTGCAAATAGAGGTGGCAAAGAGGCATTCAAACCTTAGAACTACTCGGAACTGTCAATTTTCGTAAATTTTCGATTGCGACCCCCGGGCGCGACCCATCCGAAATTCCGAAGAAACCATAAACTAAGAAACTGCAAAAAGGCGTTTATAGTTAGAGAAGGCAGAGTTCAGAACGCCTTCAAGCAGCTACATGTACTTTGCCGAATTGATGTTTCAATTGGAATTTTATCAATTACGGGTAACATGTACAACAACTTTTGGGAATGCTTTAGTTATTGCACGATTATGACACTATAGCCGCCGACGATCCCAAACCTTGTTCATCTGCTTGTGCTTGATTTTTGGATAGCAACCATGACATCTACAGGGTGTTCCAAAGGAAACAGGACTGGTGCTTGCATTTTGTTAAATATGCACTAATTGTCTTCAAAATTTTACATAATGTACTTTCATGTATCGTTACTAAGACTGCAAAGTTTTGACAAAATATATGAAACTCGGGTAGAGTTATGGTTGCTATAGTAACATGATATCGCAATACCCGGGGCAACATTCCACGCAAAAGGTTACAGAGACATTAAGCATTTTGTTCATCCCATATCATTTCGTACATGCCATATCAAAGTTGAAATGCAACTAACTGGTGGGTACTGGGTATTACATTTGTTTTACATCATTTGATATTCCTATGTATCCTCTACTTTGAAAGATAGGCTCCTCTTTGGTCAGTACAAGAGTAGTACTCTGTATCCATGTCCCAAACACATGAGTGAACCCATTTGAGGACATGTCACGCAGGGTCGATTGGACAATTTGGAGAAGGTCATTCTCATCTTTAAGGTCTTACAGCACTGTTTAGCATTCCGTTCTCAATATTAGTAAAAATTAGATATTGCATGATCAGAAGAGTATGGTACATGGTTTTAGACCTCAAGACCTAGCTCCTCTATAGCTGCATGGTCTTTAATGCTGACCTGCGGGCAGGCGCACTATCAAGGTGGATGACTGGCTTCAAATTGGGTCTTTTCAAAAACTCAACCTTGAGTTGTTCAAACTGTTACACATAGTGATATTCCAAGAAATTGAATAAATAGTATTATCATTATGAAATCATACTTGAATCTGAGTTGTATCGCAACATCTTTACAACAAAGCAACTAATAAAATAAAAAAGAAATGTTCTATTATAATAGGTGAATTAGATACTTTCTTCGGTAATACAAAAAATGTTAGATATCACATTCCCAGGAAAAAGTTGCCCCGGGTATTGGGATGTCATGTTACTATAGTAACCATAACTCTAACCGCATTTCATCATTTTTTCTGAAACTTTACAATTTTAGTTGCAATACTTCAAGGTACATTATGTAAAATTTTGAAGACAACTGGTTCAAAATTGACAAAATGCCAGCACCAGTCCTGTTACTTTTGGAACACCCTGTATATTCCATCTTAAGTTCAATCAAGGCTGTACTTGATTTACTGCTGTTTAATTATAAAAAAGCATTTTGATGCTCAAAATTAACTTAAAATGTATTAAACCCTAGAAACACACTCACACATCTATTGTGTTACACTTTTATTGCCATTACCATATTGTATATATCTTTATAGTGATGCACCGCTTTAACAACCATGGCCATGGTTTAGACAGCTCGTTAATGATGAATGGAAATAGAACTGGATTCTAGTTCAATAACCTCGTTTTTTAATATAATAAGGTAGACATCAGGACTTGATTTTGATTTAAATAAGGCCGGTCAATCATCGTCAAACGATCCAACGAACGCAAAATCACGAAGATAATTTATAGAGTGTACCTTATTCAAAGTACACGTACTGTAGCTTAATAAATTTCTACATATGATAATTTATGTCGGGATAACAGCTAATTAATGATGATAAAATAACGAATGGCACCAAACAAATGTAAAGAGTTTTGTTTGAAGTATGTATGGCAGGGTAAGTTCATTTAGCATTGAATTTCGTTAATTGTAGTGACACATTCTTCATTTTACCTATGACCTTTCAATGGATATCATCACATTTTTGGTGGTGAAATTCAAAAACAATTTTTACTTTAGACCTTTGGTCGTTCGGGGTACAGAAAACGTTTGTGCCTAGCCTTGCGGGGTGTATTTGACAATATTACCCCTACTCTTCGGTCTATATTTCTTAATTATAAAGCAAATATTTTATTCTATTTAGGGCACTACCCACATTTCAATGATTTTTGCGTGTATTACCCTCGCCCCACGGACTAGGGGCAATACATGCTGCGAAAATCATTGCGCAACAGCTGACCATCAATGACCATTCACTTTATGTTTTGATTAATTGATATGAATTTAAATTGATATTTTGCACGATTATATATAGGGAAGTCTCAACCAGCAACAAAGAAGAACGATACCCCGCAGCTGCGAGAAGGCATCCCTGCTAGAATTGAGAGTTTTCGAAATAAGCATAAGCGATTGATGAGCATTGTGATACCCGCATCCGTAGTTCTATTCCTGTGGGTCGCGTATGGTATAAAGAAGAACATATGGGGACTGTTTGTGGATAACTACTTCATGTCTGTCACCATGGTATTTGGAGCAGTGTTTGCAGGTATGAAGTTCATGAAAATAATCCGTTTGCTTACTTAACAATGTATGACGGTAGCAAAATAAAATGGTATGCAGACGCGTTCATTGACTGGGTCGAATATTTTACCTTCATCCCTATTCATGTAATTTAACTTAAATGATAAACATGTTTTGTTTATGAATTGCTTTGCACCGTATGTGTATTCAAGTTATGAACAATCATAAAAGATTTATTGTCCTTCCTTGCAATACTTTTTTTGCGATACCTTGAACATGTCGACTGACAAAGAATATCGCAATATATCAACGATAATTGAGCTGACATTTTGCCCTCATACAGGTGAATGTGTTTTGATAATATTATGAATTTTAACAAACTATGCACTTATGGTTAACGTCATAACTTTATCTTACCGTTGTCCTTGATTTTGGAGACAAGTGACGTAGTTAGATGTTTTGTTCATCGTAACTTTTAACAAAACTTTTTGATTTTTTTCATAAAAATGATTTGTGTTTTTCTTTGTGATTATTTGTGTTTTTCATTATGATGATTTGTGCTTTTCATTGTGATGAAATGTTTCATTTCATGATAATGATTTGTTTTTTTATGATTTTTCGTAACAATGAATCGTGTATTTTTCATGATAATTATTTGTGTGTTTTTCATGATGATGATTTGTGTTATTTCATGATACTTTTATGTGTTTTCATTGTAATGCTTTCTGTTTTTATTATTCGTCTTTTGTTCAGAATAATGACTTATTTCATGTCATTGTTATGTCATGTTATTTCATGATAGTTTTTTTTTCTTTTCATAATAATGCTTAGAATTGTATCACGATAATGATTTGCTTTTCCATTATAATGATTTGTTTTTCATGAAAACAATATGTGTTTTTCATGATAACGATTTTTTTGTCATAATGATTTTTTTTCAAAATGACGATTTGTTTTGTTTTTCATTATACCGGTTTTCAGTGATTATTATGTTTTTCACGGTGCTTTTTTCATTTTAATTATTTTTTTCATAATAACGATATGTGTTTTTCAAGAGTTGTGCTTTTTCCTGATAACGATATGTGTTATTCATGATATGATGTGTATTTTTCATGATAGCGATATGTGTTTTGCATGATAACAATTCGTTTTTGTTTTTTCAGGGTTGACAGGCCAAGCATCTGCTGCTATCGCATTCCCAGTTATGACGCTAGTGTTCAAGATTCCCCCACCAGTTGCAAGAGATGTGGCTGTGATGATACAATCTGGAGGGATGTCAGCCAGCACATTCACGATATTCTACATGGGCGTCACTGTTGAATATTATTCCATAATATGCTGCAGTATTGGAGGAATATTTGGAGTTATTTTCGGACTTGAGTATGTTGATGAACACATTGCACCAGATCAAACAAAGTTTGCGTTCGTTTCGATATGGTTTGCCTATGCTTTTGCCCTTTTCTTGCTCAACTGTAAGGTTAAAGGACGTAGGACTTTTTCTAGAGTACCGTTTATAAACGCGTGGAAGCTTTGCGTGTTTTTAATCACTGGTTTTATCGGTGGATTGTTCACATCTATTACAGCAAGTGGGATGGGCATTAGTCACTTTAGTGTGTTGACCTTAATGTTCGGTGTTAGCGAAAAAACTGCAGCCCCGACTTCCGTAGTATTACTTGCTGGTAGTTCCATATTTACCTTTTTCTGGCGCCTAGTCATGCACGGAGACATCAGTGCTGAGGCCTGGAACTATTTCCTTGTTTCCATTGAAATCGTTGTATTTTTTGCTCCACTTGGGTCTTTACTAGGCAGCTATTTGAATCGTTTAGTCTGTGCTTTTATCATATATGTACTTGCAATCGTTGGGTTCATAGGAGCCTTTGTCATTGTCCCTTTAACCCCGCCTCTAATTGGACTATCTGTAGGACTTACGGTTTGTGGGTTTCTATTTTTCTTAGCACTCATGTTTGTTGGAGGGAGAATTCTCGAAGATGTTGTGAGGCTAGAGAAACAAGAAGAAAATGTCATATATCTGTTTGACATAGTTACTGGTGTAATGGCAGGTCAACACAAACGTAACGATGCTGTTATAGCAAATGACAACAAGGCAACGGAAAAGCCCATTACACAAGAAAAGGAAATTACCGTAATTGACTAACGAGACAAAACCCGTTTTAGTTAATTTGTGATCGTAAATATTGAATGTCGAACATGTAAGTTAAAGATCTCAGATTAGAATCCATGATGATTTCATTTATATGCAGCGTTTTAAATGTAGTTGGGATGGATGGAATGACGAAGCGTTCAATTAATGGGGTGGGAGCAACCACTATCAACCACATTTGCAGCATGGGACACAATATGTTGATAATAACTACTACGTCTTGAAGTTCTTCTAAATGAAACGAAATGTTGAAAGGTCATCATGATTTAACCTTTAGATAAACAACGACGCGGATTATTTTACACGTCATATATATCGACAATATAAGAAAAATCTTTGGATGGCATGGGTTTCATTTTTATTTACAAGAAAATCGTATTTCGAGGCAAGTTGTTTCAACCACACACGTCATGTCACGTGATGTAAAGTTTCTGCTCTGAAAATGAAATCAATTTTGCAGCGAAAATAGACTAGAGCTGATTTTATACCCTGATATCATGACAAAATGAACTTTTGGAATTGTTGATGGTTAACCATCGTAAAGTATGGCCTTCATACGGTAAGATAGCATAAATATATCTAAATCAAGTATGGTTTGAGAACAACTTTAAAGGTCGTGTGTTTTCACTCCTTTTCAAAGCCTCAATACAGCATGTTTCTGTGCATATATATAATACATTTTGATAATAATTTTTATTTACATGTTTGATCTTTCATTCCCTGTAAAAAAATAAATTGATAAAATATTGATGGAGTGGGAGCTGTTCGAATAGCCCCTACTTTTATCCAGAGTAATTATTGAAGGAGCGAAATGAATTTATTGAACTAAATTGATGAAAAGGAATATAATTGATTATATTCTTTATTCTTATATTTATATTGTTTTCTATAGCACTTTTGATAGTTATTTATACATATACATCCTTTAAACTTCATAAACATGTTCATCTCATGGCTCATTATTATGGCAAAAAGAAACGACAAAGGTCTAAAGAAATGCAAAATTAACTATATGAAAACAGTTAATCAAAGTCAATGTGTAACCATGTATGATGTGATGTTATTTTATTTACCGTATTTACCATCTCAATGATGGGAAAATAGAATATATTGAAAAATATGAATAGTGAAAATAATACATGTTGATCGAGGAAGGTTGAACATACACTGTATAAAAATAGAGGATATCCTATGATTTATGAGTGATATGATTTTTATCCACGAATGGATATGATCAATATCCATGAGTGGATTAAAATCATATCACGAGTAAATCATAGGATGTTCTTTTTATTCCATAGTTAAAGTCATCATCAGAATCGTCGGAAAGTAAGTTATTTAATTCGAATTTCCAAACGATCCGGCGATGTTGACACTTAGCCTCGTTTTGAGTCTGAAGTAGCAAAAATCCATAAACCATCGCATACGACGTCGTATGTCATGGCTAAAAAACCGTATGTTATGGTTAAGTGAAAATTTGTCAAAAATATCATATTTTACCACTGATTACAAAAATACCGTTTTTATTTTTACATGTTATCCTATGAATATCATGCTAACTATGGAATAATAAAGAGTATTGCTTGCAAATAACAATCAATCCTAGTCTTTATTTGCTTCGAATTGTATGTTACAACCAATTATCATTACTATGTTTGTTTTATGTTTATTAATTATTTAAAATACACACAAAATACAATATATGAACTGGGTGACACTTTAAAAAGTGTATATTCCCAATATTAGGCAAAAATAATACACGTGTGTTGTCATACCTATTGAATGCAGTTGGGGACCTGCCTATGTATTCATCTATTTGAACGAAAGTATTGATTTGTCACATCATAATAGACCAAATGAGATAACGTCTTGGCATAATGTCAAAAGTGTTCTTGAATACAATTATACCAATGATTGCAAATATACTTACACTGTAGTTTGAACATTATTTGGAACAGAGGCAAAATCAGGGGGTACAGCAGAGCTAAAGGAAATATAAGTCAGTTTAGTAAAAAAACAAAAACAACAACAAAAAACACAAAAAACAACATAACTGTATGTGATTGAAATGTTACCATATGGGTCAGATATACTGAGCAATCATATTGAGAGCAGTTTTGTTCTTTGAAGAAACCAAAAAAAGAGCATCCATACTGACAGAACGCAGACAATAGCTGCATATATGGAACACAAATATATGCAGCTGCATATAACAAACATCCACGGAGAATACTGACTTCATATACGAGTACTGTCACTGAGTATATTTGCTTATATGCAGACATACTTTGCATATTTGCTGTTTACTTGTGATTATATGCAACCCAGAAACTGCATATACCTGCTTTTTTGTGATAGACAAATATAAGCTCATACAAGATAGAGCATTCAGTCTCAAATGATGTGGGGTAGGTAAGATCCAGTCTCCAAGTCCATAGGCGTTTCAAAGGGTCAACATCCATTCACAAAAGCCGTCGCCATAATCCATAAAACACAACAATTCACAATGGTCATCAGGAGAAAACTGTGGCTGGTTTCGATCCTTATTTCTCAACCAGTAATGCCATAGCCGGGATTAACCTCAAATATAGACGAACAGGTGTTTTATCGACGAATACAGACCGCAGGGCTATGCACAAACGTTTTCTTTCGAACGACCAAGGGGAGTGATGGGTTTGAAGGCTTTTGTGCCTAGCCCTAAGGTCTGTATTTGTCAATATAACACCTGCTCTGAGGTCTATATTACGATTATAGTTAAGTTGTTAACATACAGTAGTTAAGGGATGTCCCCCAGAAAGGGATTGAAGCACTGAATCTAAAGTCAATACCAGAGAAAAGATATTGCATTATTGATCATTGAGAAGAGTGACTTGTAGTTAAGACAATCATTTATCTTAATACTTTGGGTTGTTTGAAATGCCACTAAGGATATGCTGAAGGCAAATGGTGCTATAGTTGTGATTGTAAACAAACATTTATTTTAATACTTTTAAATTGTTTAAAATGCCACAGATGCTGATTTCAAAAGATTTCAAAAAGTTTTCTCAAATCTGACTATGTGTAACATTATGCTTCTATAAAATTTATACGCATGTGCGCACAGTCACATTAGTAAAAAATCAGATCTTAAAGATGTTGCTATAAAACATTATTTACTGGTTTCTACTCCAGTGATTTTGCATAAATCATGAAACGCTCATCACCAGACACCTCAAAACAAACATTGTCCTCTTTGTGACAAGAGGAAAAATGTTTGACAATATGTTCTGCTTATGGCAAGGTAAAGATACATTTCTGGGACAATTCATCCTAAGATTTTAGAAAAACTAATTCACAAAAATACAGTTGAATAACATGCTAGAAATGTATCTACATATAACACAATTAACTGTGGTTTTTGTTACATATTAATGTCAAAAGAAGTAACATTTTTGAAGTGAAACTTACACGCTACCTTGACGTTAATAGATTTACTGAAATGTATCTTGTATTGCTTTCAACTTTTACTTCACTGCTACCACTAGCCGGCAGGGTTGACATATGCTGTTACCCGACAAGTTTGACACACAGCGGAGTATTGCCTTGGTCACATTTGCCCCGATTTTCACCACGGCGCCCGGCCGATTGAGTATTTTGTTCAAAATGTATTACAACATTGAACAAAACACTCAATCGGTCGGACGCCGTAGTGAAAATTGGAGAAAATGTGACCTAGGCATTAGCTAGTGCGCTTTGATGACCTTTGTGGAAAACATGTGAGCATGTAATTTGCAACGCATCGGCTCATTGTTTTCTCGTGATATCGAGGAATGTTCATCTGCACTAGCCCGCGGGTAGTTCAAAAACGCGGCCTTACTTTCAACGCTTCCTGGTCATCTCAACCCCAAGTCAACTCAACCCAGTCCACTCAACCCCAAGTCAACTCAACCCCAAGTCAAGTCAACCCCAGTAAAACTCAACCCCAAGTCAACTCAACCCTGTAAAACTCAACCCCAGTAAAACTCAACCCCTATATTTCTATATATTGAGAAACTTATAAGAAAGTTTATTTCATAAAAATAATTCTGATTATTCAGATTGTGATTTTCATTCTTAGACTCCAAAATCTCAACATGGTACTAATAGGATTAAAATATGGGTCATTTAATTAATCTTGCTAATACATTTGTTTTGTTGAAATTTCCTATGAGGTTGACACTCGTGATTATTGTTTTGTTAATGCATGTTCATACAAATAAAAAGTTATATTATATTGTTAATTATTTCTAAATTATCTAAAATTTGATTCAAAAGATGTCTTGAATAAAATAATAGTGACAACTTGATGAATTATCCTTGAGCCTTAACCGTTTTTTTGAGCACTTTTACAACTTTCTATTCAATGTATCATGCAAAATGCTAGATTTTCAGAAACGAATGACTTAAATTATTCATAATAAAAAAATTAAATTAGACATTGTACAAATGAATAGGGTTGAGTTTTACAGGGTTGAGTTGACTTGGGGTTGAGTTTTACTGGGGTTGACTTAACTTGGGGTTGACTTAACTTGGGGTTGAGTTGACTTGGGGTTGAGTTGGACTGTGTTGAGATGACTTTGGGTTGAGATGACCTGTCACCCTTTCAACTATGATAGCGCGCTACGACCCCTTGCACCATGAGAGCAAAACCTCCCCCAAACGTCTTTTTTGCTTTTCCAATGATCGATACAACATAGCAATGCTATTCCTGAATTTTTAAGGTTGCCAAATCAAAAAATCCCAAATACGATATACTGAGTAGTACTTGATATGACTTATTGGTTGAGTATTTACGAACATATGGGAGAAGCGATGGGGAACCACGGACAAAAAAACATAGACTACAAGGTGTAGTTGTTTATAAATAAAAACAACTTTCATTCGTAAGGTAACCCCGCACCGATGCAAGATAGCCTGAAAACAGACTAATATCATGATGACTTGTTTTGTTTAGAACGTACATAAAGCTCCCGGATAAAACAATTTAGCAGCTCCAAAACGATTATTTTTAAGGAATTGTAGGAGTTTCGTCTTCCTGATAGAATTGATATTTTAGCGTTCGTTACATGAAAGTGAAAAAGCGTGAAAGAGCAAATTAATTTTAAGTTTTTTTAAATATAATAGTGATAGACAATTACGTGATGGCAAACGACTTCAACATGGAAATTAATTCAAATAAGGTCGAGACAGTGAGCAAATGTAAAGGTTCTTGCTTAAAGTATGTATGGCAGGGTAAGTAGGTTGATATTTGTTTACTAAATTAAAGTCTGAAAGTGACATTAAAGGCAGAATCTGATCTATAGGGGGTGACAAAATTACAAGCAACATGTATAATTGACCTACCAATCTATTCCTTACACTATCAAATACAATATCTCCGAAAAGATTCACAATATGTTATAAATTGGTGAAGTTATTAATGATTCAAAGTGCAAAAATGGGTCAAAAATGTTTAAATTCTCCCAAATAATAAGAATGGTAACCATTCTTATAGAAAAATAGTACATTATTGTAAAAATCTTAAATTTTCCTGGAATAAAGTATGCACTTTTGTGATTTTTAGAAAATAGACATGACAAGGAATGACATGAGCCAAAAATATTCTAAAACTGAAACAATTTTTTGTTTAGCCTGCTCGCTATATCTGATTCTCTCTTTAACATAAACAAAATATCATCAATGAATTGCTGATATGTCTATCGATAAGTAAATATGAAAAGGATGAGTGTCTTTAAGACCTTATATTAGCCCCCGAGATACTTAGAAGAAATTGTACAGGATATCAAGAAAGAACTTTGTTTGATAACCAGGGTCAAAAATTAGGTCATTCTGACCTTTATATTTCAAAATAAAGGTCATTCTATGAACGTGTATAAAACGGCCTTTAAAGGAAAAATCACTCTTTTCACATCATTATTGTCTCTGTTTCTATTTGTTATCAAAATAATCATTATTTACAGTCATTTAAGGAGGGGGAGGGTCAAAAGGGCACCCCTTGTAAAATTTTCATTAGTAGAGCCAGGATGTTCAAACTTTTTCCACATATACTTCATTTAATTATCTACAACTTGGTGTAAATACTTTTACAACTACACTGATGTGAGATTACGTAATTTTATTCTTAAGACTGTAGAATTAGTGTTAGCTTTTTCTGATTTTGTCAATTGGAGCTGATGATTACATCATAATAAATTAATAACAAATTAGTAAAGCTAGGATGTTCAAACTTTCCCAAAATATACGTCATTCAATTATCTACAACTTGGTGTAATAACGTTAACAACTATGACGATGGAAGATTGCGTAATCTTATTCTAAAGATAACATGTACAGTATGGTAGAAATAGTGCTAGCTTTTTCAAATGTTGTCTATTGCAGCTGATGATTATCCCAACGAACGAAGTTCTGTAGGGATAAAGTTAAGCCCTCCGTCTGTCCGTCCGTCCGTCCGTCTGTCCAGAAGATAACTTGAATACTAGTGGACAGATTTTCTTCATGATGTATATTGGTGAATAGTTTACGCCAAAATTTTTTTTTCAAGATGGCCGCCAGTTTAGAAATGGCGGGAATTTTTCGCCAAAACTCTTATGTTTTTCATTTTAAACCAAAATAATAAATATTTTTATTTGAAATTTTGGTAGTATATTAACAACATCTCTCTATTTCACATATATCCCGGGTTTTTCACCCTGACCCCGAGGGCCGTAAATGGGGGTTGGAAAAACAGGAATTTGCGTTAATTTTGAGATGTTTTTGAAGTATACATGTAGCTTTATTATACTCAAATGAAAGGCAATTTAGAGTAGATTGCAAATATTGTAGCGTTTTTCTGATTGGGGCCTCAATTCAAAATGGCTGCCTAATGCGAGATTTCGCAATTGTTTTCTGATCTCTTAAAAATATTGCTATATTATGCTCAAATTGAAGGAATTTCAGAGTAGATCACAATTATGTTATTGTTTTTCTGATTTGTGCCTCTGAAATTTCAAAATGGCTGACTAGAGCAGAAATTTGCCATTATTTAGAGTTATCTTGAAAGTATGGTTACATGATACTACAATGATTTAAAATGTTTATTCAAGGTAAGAGTTGATGGTTAATATTACATTCTGACTGTACAGATTGATGATTTATATAGTGTTCGTTGGGATTTGCTACTCCGTGGAGTTGCCATTTTCTAGTTACATCATAATAAATCAATTACTCTATGTACACTTTTACTGTTTTTTTTCAGAAAAAAATTGTTATATCTGTAGCTTCAGCTACTGAAAATTTGAAGACCCTACCAGAAGCCAATAAAAAGTTATGGGAAAAAAACTTAAAGGGGGGGGGGGGTCATTTTGACCACTCAGGGCTTCTAGGGTTAATCATTCCAAGAGTACCCCCTTTACTATTATATCCTACTTTATAACATCATACATTATGAATTATGTTGAAAAGCAAAACATTTATTTATTTTCACTCTTTTATATATACAAAAATGGCATCTTAATGTAATATATTTACCGTGAGAGATGAACGAGCAGGGTAGCTACAACACGAGGGTGATGACATTTGAGCAAACTGATGTTTTCATCGTTTCAGAAAGATCTGATCTGGTTTCTAGATACTTTTATTCGTAAATGTCTGTAACAACATCATAGACCGTGAGCTTGACCGTGAGTTTTATAGTTAAAACTTCACAAACTACACACCGGAATAGCCTGACAATGGTACAGTCAGATACCGTTGTCACAAATGGCGGACATAACCGTCGCTTCAATTAGATTTTCATGAACTGTTTAATAGAGCATCTAGACTAAATTCCTTTGAAACAACAATTAATCAAAGTGTCTAAATACTCATTGTACACTAAATGATGTTCTACCATCGAAATAAAGTCCTTAATTTAACTGATCAAAATGAGATACGGGACGCTATATTGTGGCGATTCACGACCCAATTTGATCGAAATTGGGATTTTCATATAAAACATCATCACAAGAGCTTAATTCATGCACAGAATTAGCGACGATAAAATCCCATGACATGAGGACCAAGTGATTAAACAATTGAAGCGACGGTTATGTCCGCCATTTGTGACAATAGAATCTGACTTTACCGTTGTCATGCTATTCTGGTGTGAAACTATCAATGTAGTAAATGGTCAACAAGTGATATATTACTAAAGCCATTACAACGGAATGAATATTGAAATCGATAACAAATAATATTAACATAATGTTGATACTATGTATCGTATAGCCATTTATACATTTGACTCATACCCTGTATTACAGGTCAAAAACATAAAGCGGACCAAAATGAAGAAACCCCACAAATTCCAAATGGTATTCTTATAAAAGTTGACAATTTCTGTAAGAACAACAAGAGGTTGATGAGCATTTTGATACCTGCATTGACTGTTTTATTCCTGTGGGTCGTGTATGGTATAAAGAAGAACATATGGGGACTGTTTGTGGATAACTACTTCATGTCTGTCACCATGGTGTTTGGTGCATTGTTTGCAGGTATGTACTTTAAAACATGGAACCTGCATCAATTGGTGGTCGCAATTGGTTTAATGAAGGACATATTGGACTGTTTGTGGGTGCACTTGGTTACCCCATTCAAAATTTGACTAAATGTCGAATGTTATAGCGAATTTGAATATAGAGGTGAATTTCTTTCAGAACTTCCACCAATGACTAAGCTTATTTTCCAATTTTATTGAAGTTACATTTTTGATATCTTCCAAGTATGACTTTTCCGCCATTTTACATTTATGACTCATCTGGACGTTGAACATATTCTGCCCCGAAGTATAATTATGTGGTAAAAAATGACCAAAAAAATCCTCATTTTGGAAATGAGATACAGTTAACTAATCAAAATCGAGAAAAAAAATTCTACTTTTAAAATTACATTTACTTTTAAAATTACATTTATGGTAAAAATATTCATGTTAAAATGTATGACTGTCTAATCATGCTGTGCCATACCAACAATGTTATGTAATCACGTAAACATCTCAATGTTGATATGTGCACCCATAAGAATAAGCTGTACTCTTTGTCAGAATGAACATAGGCTGTCAAGCATTGATTTCGATGGAGAAGAAAGAAATGATAACAATGTATTTCCATCTAGTGTTAAAAATTAAAATATATATATATGAGCCAGGCCACAGGAAAATGGGTCTTATTACAATTTTTTTCAATATTCTTATTTTTTGTTTAGCTTAAAAAGCACAAAGAGACCTTTCAAATGAGCCATGACTTATGTTTTAACAATTTTTCCTTGCATATATAGACCAAAATGTCGGATTTGAATTTAGCAAATTTCCCTATTAATCTTGGGCACAATTTTGGCTCTGTAGAACAATTTTAATTTTTGTGGTAAGACCGGTTTTCCTATGGCCAGTCTTATATATAAAATGGATACTGTGTTTTTATTTCAGGATTTACAGGCCAGGCATCTGCTGCTATTGCCTTTCCAGTTATGACGCTAGTGTTCAATATTCCCCCACCAGTTGCAAGAGATGTGGCTGTTATGATACAATCTGGAGGGATGTCAGCCAGCACATTCACGATATTCTACATGGGGGTCACTGTTGAATATTACTCCATTATATGCTGCAGTATTGGAGGAATATTTGGAGTTATTTTTGGACTTGAGTATGTTGATGAACACATTGCGCCAGATCAAACAAAGTTTGCATTCGTGTCGATATGGTTTGCCTATGCTTTTGCACTTTTCATGCTTAATTGCAAAGTAAAAAATCGTAAAACATTCTCGAGGGTGCCACTTATGAATGCATGGAAGCTGGGGGTGTTTGTTATCACTGGTTTTATCGGGGGAATGTTTACATCTCTTACTGCTAGTGGAATGGGTATTACTCATTTCAGTGTACTCACGCTTATGTTTCGTGTGAGTGAGAACACAGCTGCCCCGACATCAGTTGTCTTACTAGCCGGCAGCTCTATATTTACGTTCTTTTGGCGTCTTGTGATGCAAGGCAACATCAGTAAAGGCGCCTGGGAATACTTCCTTGTCTCCATTGAGATCGTTGTGCTTTTCGCACCACTAGGATCCCTACTCGGTAGTTTCTTAAATCGATTAGTATGCGCTTGTGTGATTTACATACTTGCAATTGTGGGATTTATTGGCGCATATGCAATCGTACCTTTAACCCCGTCTCTGATTGGTCTATCTGTAGGGCTTACAGTTGGGGGATTCTTATTTTTTCTGGTTCTTATGTATGTTGGGAGTAAACTACTTAATAATATTAACATATTGGAGAAAGTTGAAGAACAAAGAAAAAACTCGGCGGGGATTCTGAAGGAGACCAACGGAAAATCTCTTCCAAAAATCGAAGTTACTACAATGTAAAGAGAACATTAAAGAAAATAACCATTTATGAGGCTGTAGTGTTCTGGGTGCATCCCACTTTTCATCATTTTTGGGCAAAATAAAGACTTACATTTAAATTTCATAGTGTGTCCAATGTATTGATAAGAACTATTAAGTAAGCGGATTGTAAAGCGGCATCAAAGCGCCGTTGGTATGAAGAAAAATGACAAAAATGACGGCGCTTTGCTCGCCGATTTAAAGCGTGGCATTCGCCATTGGTGTGAACGTACCTTTATCAATTGTGATTTTTCAATTAGGTTTCTAAAGCATGCCTTTCTTTTTAAATGACATCACACGATCTGTGAGGTTTAAATTAAATACATTATTATGTCTAGATGACATCGGACGTGAAGAATTGTGCAAGTGAGTTGCGAAATCTCTATTATCATAAACATATGAAACTAAAAGAAATTTAACTATATGTTAATGTACATTAGGACGTATAATATATTAGTTATTGCTTACTATATGGTTTACGTTATCCTGAATTGGTTATAAACTACATCACTGTGGAGGAACTCATTGGGCGAGTTACGAAAACGGATCCGTTTTCGTAACAACATTGTGCAGCCGTTATTCTATAAAATTTGTTTTTTTTATGATTCCGTGAGATAAAGTCAAAATCATCACTACCTTTTTAACACAAAAGTCTCGCCCGGTGATCGTACAAAAAGGTTGGAGGGGGGGGGGATTAGGCGATTTCTGCGAGAAAACTCAACAAATTTGGAAGATTTATTTTTTCAAGAAAAAATTTACTACGGAATTGCCAAATGAATAGGCGCAGTACATGGCAAAATGTATTAGGTCATCTCGTATTTTTTTGAACTGATACCCTTCTAAGATATGAGATCTATTAAAAAGGCGCATCATCACCAACGTGCAAAAGTCCATGTTTATGCTATAAATCGAGCAACAATGGTCTATACGACCTTAAATAAAAATATATAAGGGAAGTTATTATCACAATACTAATGACATTGCTCACTTAAAGCTAGTTTTAAAAATGGACGTTGAATTGTGAAATGGCCGCTATATTTTACTTTAAAACTAGAAAAACAGCAACTCCATGGAGTAGCAATTCCCACCCAACATTAAATGTTTTGATTATCATGTTTTTTTCAAAAATGGCAGCCATTTTGAAATCCAGCTGCCATCTTGAAAATATCAGTGAGGGATATCCCAAAATTCAGTGTTGGTATTGGGTCACGCTGTATCCATGTGATAGCTCCGTATAAGGCTAATAGACCATGTAGAAATGCAACTTACATGTTATCCACCATTATGAATGTCATGTGATAGGTTCTGATAAAGCTTGTAATACCATGTAGGGAAAGATACATTTAATGATTTATAAATGATGATTTGTCACACAAAAATGATTTTCAGATGTACACCATTTTGAAATTCATCAACATACCAAACTTGAATCATATCCGCCGGCAGATATTTGAGTTATCTAAGATTACGTTTTGTGAAAATGACGTTTTCTTTAGCAGAGCTCCTTTGTCCCTTGGAATCAGCATATAGAATTTTTCAAAATCCGTCAATTGACATTTGAGTTATCAAATATTAAAATATGGTGGCCATTTTAAAAATCCGCCACCATCTTGAAACATCATTTCTCAAACAGAGGTACTGTGTCCGTCAGCATCAGCACATCAGCATTGAATTATTAAAAAAGTACATTTTTTACGAAAAATGGCGACAATTTTGAAAATCAGCCGCCATCTTGAAAATTATTCTTCAAACAGAGCTACTTTATCCGTAGGCATCAGAGCTTGTTTGTCCCTAGATATCAACATACAACATTTGAACCACGCGATTCCAATCAAATTGGTGGCTATTTTGAAATTCAGTGGGGAATTTGAAAAATTAATGTTTTCTTTAGCAGAGCTCCTTTGTCCCTTGGAATCAACATATAAAATATTACAAAATCCGACTAGTGGTACTTGAAATATCAAATATTCAAAAATGTTGGCCATTTTGAAAATCCGCTGCCATTTTGAAAATTCTTCCTCGAACTAAGCTACTGTATCCCTAAAGCTAAGTTTACACCAACGCGCGGCGCTTTGATGGCGCTTTAATGCGGCGTGCAAAGCGGCTTTGCACGCCCCATTAAAGCGCCATCAAAGCGCCGTTAGTGTGAACTTAGCTTTAGCATCAGCATAATAAAAGATAAACCAAATCCGTTCTCTGGTATTTGAATTATTAAAATATTACATGTTTATGAAAAATAGCGGCCATTTTGAAAATTCAGAACTTATATGTCCCTAGACCTCGACATACAACGTTAAAGGTACGTTCACACCAACGGCGCTCTGATGGCGCTTTAAAGCGGCTTGTAAAGCGGCACCAAAGCGTAACAAAGCTTAATTAAAGCGTCGGGGTCGTAATAGGTCGTAGAAAAGCTCGGGAGTAAAGCGGGATATTCGGCAAGAGCGCTAAAAAATTTAAACTGTTTAAGCGTTCGCACCAACGGCGCTTTGATGGCGCTTTAAAGCGGCTTGTAAAGCGGCACCAAAGCGTAACAAAGCTTGATTAAAGCGTCTGGATCGTAATGTATGTATGTATTATTTATTTGCCTCTTAATAACAAGAGAGTTACATTCAGAAATTTATACAAAAAAATTAAAAAAGTAAAAGCATCAGACAAAGATTAATAAAGAGTAGGTAATGTACAGTAATTAGACATTTTTTAACAGCAGTTGTCTATGCTTATGCATTATGTACACTTTCTGTGATATGGATAATAGTTTCTCATTGTCACAACATACTATACCAAGTATTACCTTAAGAATAAAATTGTCATCTTGAACATTCAGATTGGTCATTGCAATGTTAATCATGGGTTCCCTGACTCCAGAAAGAGCCGGACACTTTAATAAGAAATGTTTCACAGTTTCATTTTCATTGAGCTCACAGAGCACACATGTCTTACATACAGATGTATCACCCTCGCGACGTCTACTATTTAAATCATACGTTCCAGTTAATAATTTGATCATAATCTTAGTACAGTACACAAAATTGGGGTTATTTTTAGCAATAATCCACCAAACATTTGGCTTAAATTCCAACAAAGAACCTGCCATCATATTTAAACTCTTGTACATCAATGTCGATAGCACAGTGGTACGAGTATTAAAATCTTTGACTCTCTTATAAATACTATATCTAAAATTCAGTTTACTTGGATATTTAGCATTAAAAACCATTTCATTCACAATGTCAGTAAGGTTATACTTAAGAACAGTTTCCCACATGTAATAAATGGGGGACTTCATGTGTTTACAGGTTACATTTGTGTACATCATTCGAATTAGGCTCTCCAAACATATGATTTTATATATACAATTCATGGGCAAAGATAACAGCATAAATAAGAACATAAGCCTATCGCAATCGATCTTCGCTTGTACTGGCATCCAGCCAAGTAGTCTGGTTGCTACGGGATCTGGTGTATTCTTAGGTAATGACTGTATTCGCTTGCCAATCTCTCTATGCGCGGATTCCATCAGTTTGATGTCATCTTCTGAGTATGGTATTACAGCACACATTATTACACATTTATCTGGGTGGAATTCAAACCGCCAACGTCTGCTGTATTCATGTGCAACATTAAGTAGTCTATTCATATATTCTGGTTCAGTAGTTATTAGCGCGAGATCATCGGCGTATGCAAGGCAGCCTACAGGGTGTCCCCCAATCTTTGCAATACAATTACTGTCTATTAAGTCATTTAAGAGGTCGGCAATGAAGAATTGGTAGAGATGCATACTGCAGACCCCGCCTTGGTGGACTCCCCTACGCACGTAGAAAGATTCAGAATTCATTACACCATTTACAAGAACTCTACATTTATATTTGCAATATGACTGATATAAGATACGCCAAGCAAGTCCATTAATTCCGGTTTGGTACAGTTTCCAGAACACCCCATCAATCCAGGTACCATCGAAGGCTTTCCAAATGTCCATTAACGCCAAAAATACTCCTTCTTTAACATTATGTGATTTGACTTCCTGAAGCAAAAAAGATGTGTGAAGTGAAGAACACTTTTCGACTGAAGCACCTTGAAGTTGAGGGATAGCATTTCTGAGCCTTGGGAGCATCCTAGCAAGTACAATATTATCAAATAGTTTCCTTAAAATACTCATTAACGTTATACCTCTGTGGTGGTCTTTGTTAAGGCAATCTTTGTTACCTGACTTTAAAAGAGGAATAAGAATTCCTGTACAAAAGTTTTCTGGAATATATTCACTAACACGAATAACGTTAAAAAGCAGTGTTAGAAAAGTAGTCATACATGGGCCACCATATTTAATGTGTTTAGCATTTAAACCATCGTGACCGGCAGCTCTATTATTATTCAATTTTAAAATACACTTATTAACTTCCTCAGTCGTAAAATCAGTGTCTAAAATACCATCTTTATTAAATACAGAATTCATTTTCATCATATTCATGTCAGAAACAACCTCGTTTTCAAAATGATTATCAAAAATATCCCTATGGTCAAATGAAGCCAACTTACAAAAATATGATTGCCATTCATTACAAACTGCAGAAGGATCCATTATAATTTCCCCATTGTCCGCTCTAACAGCGCCTGTTGATTTACTTTTACACTGTCGACTTTTATTCAAAAGATACCAGAATGTTCGTTGGTCCATTTCGTCAAGTTCGTATAATTCATTTAACTTTTTGTGCTCGTACTCGACCTTGTATTTGTTAAAAGCCGCCCGGAATATCCTCTTTGAGTCCTTGTAAATCTTTCTTGTGGTATCCATAAAATCCCTCGGTCTCCCTGCATTCACCCAAACATGCCAAGCCCGTTTCTGTTGTTTCTTCAGGCGAGTTAAATGGCTGTTCCAAAAAGGTTTCTGATGTTTCATGAATTTTTTAAGTGGAATAACTATATCGGCTCTACAATTGATTAATTTGATTAACCTATCAATGTAGTTATCTATGGTATCACTGTCAGTATTGCTAGAGGTTGATATTTCGTTAATTAAATGTTTTAAATCAGTTTGCATTGGACACGTAAACAATTCTGTAATGTCAATTTTAGTTACCCTATTCCAAGCATCATTACACAATTAGGCGCTGAATTAAATACATGTTTTGAAGGTGGCAGGTCAATCACACTCCTAATCGCCAAATGACCAAAATCTGCAGTGTGAGCGCTAACCAATACGTCACAGCTAATTACATGTTCTAATAAAGATTCAGACAGTACAATATGGTCTATATAAGTTCTGTGCCCAGTGGCAGTTTCATATGTATGACATGGACCTTGTGAACTATTTTGCATATCAACGGCTACTAATCTGTTGCGTTGCAACATTTGAAACAACAAAAGACCATTAAAACTATGTTTACCAGTAGACCGTCGCGTTTCATATAAATTGCCTAAATTGGCATTAAAATCACCAGCAATAATACAATTTGCATCTCGTTTGCATTGGTTTACACACTCTTCTAGAAAACTCAAAACATCCTCAAAAATATCATTTTTGCAACCTACTTGTGGCAGATATACAGAAAATACATAAATTGGTACATTTGTTTCAACCTTAATACATGCGATTCTATCAGTGCAGAATTTTCTAATCGGTGACACGGGGTATTTTAAAGATTTTCGCCACAATAAGGCTATGCCTCCATGTCCCCATGTTAGCCCGCATTGCATTGAGTCAAGTGATTTACAGCTAAAAGCAAGAGTATTAAAATCAGAGTCTACAGAGCTCAATTTATTAAGGTTACATTCAAATAAACGGTGCTCTGAAACAGCAACTATATCACTCGATCTAAGAAGATCTCTCAGGTACACCTCCGATGAATTCAGACCATTTATGTTCCATTGCGATATTGATACCATTAACTGTATTAAAGTGACAACAAAGAGTAGATGCAATAAGAGAATAATCTTGAAGGTGAAACACATAGTTAAAAGTTGTATCTCGGCCTCAAATCAACGTCACTTCTGTCATCGTTGTCAACATAACGTCGTCTCCGACGTTCCCATTCCCTACATCTAATAGGAACAGGCCACAAGTCAACACACAAAGCCCTATCTACCTGGTGTTTAGGTATCGTTATTTTACATCCAACTTTGTCACAAGAAATCCGGTTATGCACAACATGTATTTGTTTCAATCTAATATTATTATCCACTGCAAAACGTTTCACATTATTGATTGTATCCTCGTCGTCCTCCTCACTTGATTGATAAATATTTTCTAAATAAAGTACCCTCACTTCCTCATACTCAATTCCTCTTAGGCCACTGCTTCTGGGTCGTGTACTGGCGTTGTCACGCGTTGTATCGGGTCTTGTGGGGACCGTGTTGACATATTCCTTTTGTTTCGCCGCCGCCTTCTTTCGCCGAAGCTGATTATTTCCGAGCCACGTTTGCCATTCCTTGCCAGGTGGGTCGGGGCCCTTCCATATTCCGCGATCCGTTGGAGGTGGGCCGCGCCATACACCGGTGTCCGTCACGCCATAGGTCACCTGCCCACTTGACCCCTGGGGCGTATTCAGGTTAAGATTCGATCTAGGTGGTCTGGGGGGCGTGGGGGTTTGCGTTCTCGTATACGTCACTTTCTGGGGACTGCTTCGAGGTGTCGAGCTTCTACGTTGTTTAGAGGGTTCACCATTCAGTTTATTACAACCATGCTGATCTGCGGAACATTGGGAGGGCAGCAGTGTATGTGGCAAAATGGCATTTTGCGATGTGCCAGGGGTATCCATATGAAGATCAGTTCGACTGCGGTTGACATCACCAGCTGGGATTGCACTGACCTGGGTCGATTCAGGTCTAGTGTTATTGTTTACATTATTTGACCCGTCGGTATAATCCGGGACGTCTGGGTCATTTGGCGTACTCAGCGGCTTACTAGCATTCAATTCCGTTATAGAAGATTTGGCAAAATTAGCCATTACCTGTTGAGTTTGTTTAGGGGGTGCACTGGAATTAACAAGGTCGGAAGGTTTAGAGCTAGTTACAAAACGTGTGATAGATGCTAGATTGCCCTGTATAGAGTTCGTATTCTGGGTCAGCTTTCCAAGTTCAGATTGCAACGTTTTACATGTTCCCGTGATCTGGTCAAGTTTCGAAGACAAAGTACAAATGTCCTTTCTCATAGAATCCCTCTCAACTTCTAGCTCCTTTACCCTTTGTGTTAGTACGGTTATTGTAACATCCATAGATGCAGCTCGTTCATTACGATGCATGTTATTAGAGGCCTCCCTTGACATGGTTACCTCGGGCAGGAAACTGTTCGTACTCAAAACCCCCTTTGGGAACACATCTACATTATCTGTTAGATATAGGTATAGATCGTATATGTCCGTGACACTATTAGTAAGCTTATTCTTACCCTGGCGTTTCTTAGGCTGGAGATTAACAGGAACTTCGTTTTCGTCGCGTTCTGCTAAAGGTCCAAATAACGAGTTACAATGCTCCGTGACTTTTGATTTTGCCTTTTCGAAGAAGTAATCACGTATCATATCAAAATAGGTCGTAGAAAGGTTCGGAGTAAAGCGGGATATTCGGCAAGAGCGCCAAACGATGTTAAACTGTTTAAAAATTTTGGGCGCTCTGTTACGAATTGATTGAAGCGCCGAGAGCGTATCAAAGCTTAACAAACCGTAACAAAGCTCAACAAAGCTTGACTCAAAGCGTAAGAAAGCTTAACACAGCTTGGTTCAAAGCGGGGACCCCAGTCTATTCACGGTCTGTTACCACTTGACACGCTTCGTTAAGATGTCTCAAGATTTGCTACGATCTGGCATGAAGATCTGACACGAGGTCAGACGCTTTCATCAATATCTGACACTCTTTGTTACACTTTCCTGAGGGACTCTCAAGCTTTCAAACGAATTGAGACGCTTTAATCAAGGATTGAAACGCTTTGCTGTACGCTTGACAAGTTTTCACACGCTATATCACGCCGTGCGACAATCGTCATGTCTTCTTCAGATAGGTCATGCTCTGGTCCATCTGGAATTTCTGGATCTCGTTGTTCTGCCATCGTGTTCTCGAGTCAAAGATGCAATGGTTTTATGCATCTTTATATAGTCATTGGATCAAAAGCGGCATGGAATCGGCGATCTCGACATTTTCCAATGCATGACAGAGCTTAACAGAGCGTAACAATGCACAACAGAGTTTTGCAATCGTATCAGAGCCTGATTTAAAGCGTCATAATCGCATCAAAGCGTAATAATGCTTATCAAAGCTTTTCAAAGCGTGATTTCAAGCGTAACAAAGCCTGATCAAAGCGGGATCAAAGCGTGAGGAACCTTTTGGAGCTATGTTAAGCTTTCCTACGCTTTGGATCAAGCTTTTCTGAGCTTTGTTACGGTTTGTTAAGCTTTGATACGCTCTCGGCGCTTAATCGATTCGTAACAGAGCGCCCAAAATTTTTTAAGAGTTTAAAATTTTTTGGCGCTCTTGCCGAATATCCCGATTTACTCTGAGCTTTTCTACGACCTATTACGACCCCGACGCTTTAATCAAACTTTGTTACGCTTTGGTGCCGCTTTACAAGCCGCTTTAAAGCGCCATCAAAGCGCCGTTGGTATGAAGAAAAATGACAAAAATGACGGCGCTTTGCTCGCCGATTTAAAGCGTCGCATTCGCCGTTGGTGTGAACGTACCTTTAGCCATATCCGTCCACTGATATTTGAGTTATCTAAGTTTACGTTTTTTATGAAAATGGCGACCATTTCACAATTCAGTGGGCATCTTGAAAATGTTTTCTATATCAGAACTCCTTTGTCCCTTGGGATCAACATATAAATTTTACAAAATCATACAATCGGCATTTGAGTCATCAAATATTCAAAACTGGTGGCCATTTTGAAAATCCGCCACCTTCTTAAAAATTCATTCTTGATCAGAGCTACTCTGTCCCTAAAGCTAAGTTCACACCAACGGCGCTTTGATGGCGTTTTAAAGCGGCGTGCAAAGCGGCTTTGTACGGCGCTTTAGAGCCCTATCAAAGCACCGTCGGTGTGAACTTACCCATCAGCATATAAAATTTGAACAAAATCCGTTCTCTGGTATTTGAATTATCAAAATATTACATGAGATTTAGATTTCATTTTACTAGAAATACGGCCATTTTGAAATTCAGCCGCCATCTTGAAAAGTCTATCGAACAGAGTTATCAACTGAGCGTGTATACATGTCTTTACTAGAGAATTGTCATCCTGAAATCCCGTGTAAGCTAAGTTCACACCAACGGCGTGAAAAACCGCGGGATACTTTCGATTTTAGATTTTCTGAAACATAAGACTCTTACACAAGTTTGTGCAAAAATGTAGTGATGATTCTGCTTGTGTCTCCTGAAATCATGGAATAACAAAACATACGGTAAGTTCACACCAACGGCGCTTTGATGGCGCTTTAAAGCGGCGTGCAAAGCTGTCGAAATCGCCATTTGCGTCATTATGTTACGAAAATAGAGAGTCAGTGTCAGTGGGCTCCACGTGCTACGCCAGATGATTGGCCTTCTGCTATTACAAACCTACAGCTGTCTACTCTCTGGTGAGGATAAATAAAATTTCAATCTATTTTTGTTATAACATTAGGGGAACATGGGGCAAAACGGCCCTCTGGGGCAAAGTGGCCCATCGAAATATCTTTTGAACTATAAAAAGATGGTTCTTCAAAAGTCACAAAATCGAATTTTGAAATATCTGCCACCTTCTCGAGCGTCCATTTTTAACCAAGCAGCGTCTCGTTTTATGTAAGAGGGAATTCTACTTTTCACCCTCTTTTTTGGAAATTACCCCTCTCACGAGAATCTCTAAAAAATCCGGCAACAATAGAATATCGTTTTGATTTAACATTTTACATAGAGTGTGCACATTTATTCTTTATTTGTAAAAATTTCGAGCTTCAAATATTAGGCAAATTAAAATGACGTCTTTTTGAAAATTCACATGTCTTTGGGGCAAAACGGCCCACACATGTTATAACATACAAAAACCTTATTGTGCAAGAACAATTGGTTTTCAAATGTAACAATTTTAACATCTGGCTTGTGCCTAATTTCCTTCCGACACATATCGAATGACTAGAATTATGGTAGGGGTTAAGAATACTTTATCTGTCAAAGGCTTGAACGTCTGAGATAAGATGTTTGTGGACGAGTCTTGTAATTGATTAATTTTGGTTCCAAAACCCTTGTAACAGAGGGTGGGCCGTTTTGCCCCACCCATGGGCCGTTTTGCCCCACTCTCGACAATATTTTTGACCATTGAAAAATCACAGAAGATAGTCCTAGGAAAGTATAAAACACTCGAAAAATGTAAACCACAAACCATTAATAAAGTGGAACATCAAAGTGCGCGATGATTGACAGATACGAAAATATCCCGTACAGAACAACTTAAAATTAATTTTTTGGGGCCGCTTTGCCCCATGTTCCCTTAATCATCCTTCATGGTGGCGAAGTATATGCTACTTGAAGGTAATAATATTTTGCTTAAAATGTTTGATCATTTTTTAATCTTAATGGTCTGTAAAAATACTATAGTACTGGCTTGATCTCTATCATGTTAATGCTCAAAACAAGTTTCATATTGTCAGAAATTCATAAATAAATAAAAAATATTGAAAAAATACTTGTTAATGGTTCATAAAAATGTCACCAAGTCTGATGCTATACTAACTATTAGTCTCGAGTGAATAGTTTTGTGGACAATGAACTTAACTTGCATTGCATTGAAATAGTTATACAAGCTGTACGTTATAACCAAATAGTCTCTTCAATACGTACATATTTCTTTTTTTCCGCACCCTTGTCCCTTGGGTGCTATATTGTGGTCAGATCCCAGGCAGTCGGGTGTGAATAAATGTATCTTTTCCACGGGTTTCTAGCCAAACTGTTTGAGAGATTCACCTGATATTTTAAGAGATGTTTCTTTGTGTGAAAGTTGAGAAGTGATTACTTTATGGGCATCTTGGGTAAGTTTTAGGTTAGCCATTTTGGATTTTCTGTCCTAAAATCATGTCTCGTGTCTACATGTTTCTAGCCAAACCTTTTCATGGATTCATTTAAAGTTTTCAGGGAAGTTCCTACGTTTGGTTCAAAATAGATTTTTTTAGGCATTCTTGGTAAATGCTAAGTGGTCATTTTGAATTTAGTGTCCAAAAATCTTGTCCGTCGAGGCTTGTCTACAAGTTTCCAGCCAAACTTTCAACGTGGAGTTGCTGTTTTCTAGTTTTAAGGGACGTGTCTTGGAATTAAAGTCTACAACTGAATATTTTGGGTCACTCAGGGCAAATGTAGTGAGGCAATTTTGGACTTTCTGTCCCAAAAACTATCAATTCTGTTAAATAATGTGATACTGTTCACTCTGTGTCTTGTTTTTATTTCAGAGTTCAGTGTCGGTGTACTCTCACCATATGACAAATGATAAAATTACATTAGTGTCTAACATAATACAAATAATGTATATTATGTTAGACATTAATTTTATTTTATTACTCAATAGCCCTTTGTTTATATTTTATTAGGAGTAATAAAGATGAAGTACAGCCCAGAAAGAAACTGAGAACCGTCAACAGTTTTGCTCCTAGGGCCGCTGCTAATCGCCATTCCCTCAGCCTGGACAGCATGAAAGAATTTTGTATTTCTTTGAAAGATGTCACTGAACAAAAAAACAATGGTTTAGTTTCATAACATTTGTCTCTTGAACGGTTTGAAACAGAATGACTGCATTACTTTAAAATCTAAGACTTTTAAGTTGAAAACATGAGCATATTTGTTATTTTATCCTGAGACAATCTATTTACGAGATGAACTTCTTTTGGATATGCAAGAAAGTGCTGTTTTGTGACCATATTAGGGTGAGTTCAAATTCCAGAAATGTCAACTCTGATCAAGTTGTGTCATAAGAATATGAACCATTCCATTCCTACCTGAGAGCATACAATACGATACTGAAATAGTTTACTGTTATTCTACTTAATTTGGTGACTGTCGAAATCGGAAAATATTGGCACTGTGCCAAGTAACCTTCAACGTTTGGGGGTCTTAGTTTTATAACAGGGTCTTAGTTTTATAACGTGGGGGTCTTAGTTTTGTAGGTCTTAGGTCTTAGTTTTGTAGACACCCCCACTAAAACCAAGTTTTAATCAAAATAAAAGAGCTCGTTGGACACATTTATCAAAAATTCAATATAATCTTATAAATATTAAAAACTGGGCCCCTGGTCACGGGTTCAATCTTTAAACCTCCAAAATGTATTATGACTAATGAAAGTGCTCTGACAAATGATATGTGTGTACACATTTTGTAAAAAGAACTCTTATAATATCTTGAGATAAAAAAATCCAGTGTAAATTTTTAAATATTAGAAAATGAACTCCAGAAATGTAAAACTCTTATAAAAGAGCTCTGGCAAATGACATTTGTGAACATTTTGTGAAAAGGAACTATTCTATCAAAAGAGCCCTGGAAATTTCGGAGACTATATGTTCAATCTATCAGTTCTATCAGTCAGTGTTGTAAAAATATGTTGCACATATCTCTTAAAATGTCTGGA